GCGGTCCCAAATCACAGCGCAGCAGAAGAATTCCCTTTGGGGAGATCCGTGCGCTCACGGAGAACGTGTTCCCTCCAGAGCGCACGCTCTTCTACTCCCCAACAACAGAACAGCCATGATGTCAGATTCCCGTCATCCGTGTGTCTTTTATTAGTTTTAGCACCAATTATGTGAAAAAGCCGTTTCTCCACCGACACAATTATTTAGTGGGTAAAATGATTTGTGGATGAGAAACGTGTGGACAACCGAGACCTTCGGTACCGTAGTTCTCCTGTTCTACCTCTAGATGCTGTTCGCATGGTCAGAGCTGTTCTCATCATTGGGAATATTCCCACGCACAGGTCAACGCCACACAATGTGTCAAATCGTTCCTACGCACAAAATCCACACAGATCTGTTCAGAAGTACGGTTGATAAATGAGGGCCACTACTGGTCCCAGTGATGGAGGCGGAGCTCCCTCTAGTGGTGAGTCTGATAATCAGCTGGTCAGCTTTTATTTGATGGTTCTGAAGAACTTCCTGATGTGGAGCAGGAGGTAAAAGTCTGCAGCAGAACAACAGTTTAGAGGATTTTTATTCCCGGTTCGGTACTTTAGTTTTTACTGGGTGTTGAGGCTGTGGCAGGTGTGACCAAGTCACAAGTCACAAGTCTTTCCAGTCGAGTCCAATGTCAATGATGTGGAAGTCCAAGTCCTGGACTTAGAATTTTCAAGTCACATTCAAGTCATCTGTCCAGCTCCAGCTTCAACTTAATGACAATGATAATAAATAAATTCCAGAATTAAAGCTTCATTTATTTGCTCAAACAAGCAGGAATGGTAAACGGCCTGTACTTGATATAGCACCTTCTAGAGTCCTGGAACCCCCCAAGGCGCTTTACAACACAACCAGTCATTCATCCATTCACACACTGATGGTGATGAGCTACGATGTAGCCACAGCTGCCCTGGGGTGCACCGACCGAGGCGAGGCTGCCGACTGCTGGCGCCACCGGCAGGCGCGCAGATAGGGTGGGGGACGGGGGGGTCTGTCCCCCCCAGATTCATATCGACCCCGATCCGTCCCCCCCACTAAGGCCAGAAAGAAAACAAAATCAGAGGTTAAGCGCCTGAAGCTCCTTTTTCCAATTACATTGAATGCAGCATGACGTAAACAAACACCGACTCCAGAGGCGCCAAAATGGTTGCTGCTAGGATGCAGGATGAAGCGAAAAAGGCGAACAATGATTACTGCGTGTTTAAAAAGACCAACAGTGTAAGTAGGCGGGACCGATCTGTCTGTTTATGCGTGTTGGTTCTAGTTTCAGTACGTTGTTGTTGTCAGTGTTGGGACTTACTCGTTAAAAGCGCCAAAGCCTCATTGCTGACTTTAACGAGTCTCATCTACAAACATGATCCTCATGAAGTTACTACTTCACACCAGAAGATAGTGGAGATGTGGAACCTTCAGGCTGAGCAAAGTTTGGGAGTTTTTAGAGTTTGAAAATCGCCTCCCGCCGAGAGGATCCCAGTCAGGGAGAGGAGGAGATGGGCGCAGCATGAAGAGCGCAAATATGAGATAAAACGTATAATTGCCGGCAGGTCTGGTCTTTGTTGACTGATCACTTTGTCTGGTCATGACTGACTCTGATTATGAAGCAGAATATAGACTCTGATGAAGAAATTCACTCATCCAGCCGGGACGATGGACGCTGCTGCAGCATCAGACAGCTGGTGCTGCACGAGAGGTGTGTGGAGTTTACGAGCTCCAAACGTTGGGTTTGATGTTGGTTTAACCTTCTTTGGGACGTGATGGATGTAGAAGCTATGGTAAAACACCGCTAACGTGACAGACGTAGCGACAATGTAAAAAAAAGCCGTAAAAAAGAGGCAGATGCTGATGCGTTATGTATGGAAGTCAAGTGCGCCACATAATCATAAAAAAGTAAAATATAAAATTTAAAAAGAGATTTATTTATGTATAAATAAAAGCTTTCTTAAGTTTGAGAACCACTGCTCTAGTGATAAGTGAATATTGTTTCTTATTATATTTTATGTGCAGTTTTTTAGGGTTTTTATGTTTTCTGTAAAGATTGGCGCTGACAATCATTTAATGTTTTACATAAAGCGTGAGGTTTTGGTTAGTACTTGATTGGGAGAATAACAAATGACTGAATTAAATAGTGGGGCGCCTCTGTCAGTGCGCCCCAGGACAGCTGTGGCTACATCGTAGCTCATCACCATCAGTGTGTGAATGGATGAATGATACGCTGTAGTGTAAAGCGCTTTGGAGTCCTTACTCTGAGAGGCGCTACACAAGTGCGGGTCATTTATCATTTATAGTGTTGATCAGGCAGAGTTTTGTTGCATAATGGCTTCAGACACGTATATAAATGTTAGTTTTTACGTAAACCGTTGGATGAAATTACACAAACTGACTGAGCTCTAGTGAAGGTGCTTGCAATAGTGTGTGTGTGTGTGTGTGGCGGGGAGGGTACATTGGAACTTTGTCCCCCCAGTTTGAAAATCCTATCTGCGCCCCTGGCCACCGACCACCACCAGCAGGCAACGTGGGTTAAGTGTCTTGCCCAAGGACACAACGACAGCGACAGACTGAGCGGGGCTCGAACCTGCGACCTTCCAAACTGAACTTGATTATAAACAAAGAGTTGTTGCTGCATTTAGCAGTAAATCAAACCCAGAACGAAGAATGATTTATGATTTTTGTCCACGTCGTGCTGCTTTTGTGCTAAAATATCAAATAAGCTCAAGTCATCAAGTCAACAGATGCAAGTCAATTCAAGTCGCAAGTCATTGGCGTTCAAGTCCAAGCCGAGTCGTAAGTCTTTATAGATTTTATCAAGTCAAGTCAGAATTCATTAAAATAATGACTCAAGTCAGACTCAAGTCCAAGTCATGTGACTCGAGTCCACAACTCTGAGCACAGGTGAGGAGGTTTTTACAGTCTGAATCATGTCAGTAAAAATAATGTAAAAATGAAACTGAGGTTCTGGTTCTAAGGACCGGTGTGACAGGAGCTCTGGGCAGGTCTCCAGAATGAACCCGTTCTGTAGAACCAGAACCAGAACCAGAGCAGTTCCCAAGGTTGTTAAGAATCAGAAACTAAATGTTTTTCTTATTTTTTTTTAAATAAATTGGTAATAAAATCTAACAAAGTTTCCTGTTCCTCGTATAAAAGGTTTGATGGATGGATCTGCGGTACCGCCAGTCCAGCGGGAGCGTGTGACGAGCGCACACACTGGAATGTAAACGGTTTTCCGCTAAGTTGTGTTTCAGTAAAAAACGGCGTAGATGGACCCAAACATGAGGAACGAGAGGCGGAAGGAAGCCTGTGCCCTTGCTGCCGTTTCCATGACAACACTCTGGCCTGTTTAGTCTAAGACGGGATCTGTGTTGTGAGAATCCGAGGAGACGAGGTCAGAGTCGGAGCGCTGCAGCAGGTGGGAGTCGACAATCAGTCTCTGATTTAATCTGATTGAGGAGTTTCTGAACGGAGGAGGTGATCGGCACCTCCTGCTGTGTCTCACTCACCTCCTCATTGTCCACTCTGAAGTTCTTGTACTCAGCGGAGCGCTGGTTCCCCTCCAAGTCCTCGGTGTTGATGTGCAGGTCGTAGTTCCCTGTGGGACAGCAGAGTTACCCCTACAGCTCCAACCACAACCCCAACCCGGCGGGTGACTCACCTTGGGAGGTGAGGAGGTGCAAAGGCTCGTTTCCCAGCCAGAATTCCCCGTTAGGAGAGAAATGGTCTCCAAATCCTTGACTGTACTCCAACCATGTTCTGCAAACACACGCGGGTTGGTGGGAAGAGCTGGTGAGGTTTTAGGATAAAAACATCTTGTGTTCTAAGACTGGACGAACAGCATCAGCTGATCCAAGATGGCTGCCACAGCTACCCAACCAAACGTCTGTGATGTTGACCAAACAACCAAAACTCGGAGCAACAGGAATTCCTTCAGGGAGCGACGGGAATCACTTTGTCTTTCTTCAGCAGTAAGTGATGACAACAGGTAAGGTTACCTACACAGGTGATGGAGGTCTGGCGGAGTTCCTCAGTGTTCCAAAAGAAAAAAAGCCAAATTTCCTCTTTTCTGACTGACTTTAGAAGTAAACGGAAGCAGCGAGAGGAGGAGACGTTTGTCTGAAGCAGGGAGGAGCTAATTAAAACCTCTTTCCAATTCCAAATTCAACAGGGCCATCTTAAAAACCCACCCACAGGTAGGGCATCAATCACCACCAATAATATTAAAATCAACAGTTTTTAAACTTGACTGGCTATAAGAGTAGTTGTCCACCTGACACATTCTCTGACCTTCACCTGCTGGGGAGGGATGGAGTGTTTGAAGGTCCGGTAGTCACACACCTGTCAAAGCCCTCCTTTCCATCTCTCCTCCTCTGGAAGACGGTCCATCCTCCCCCGTTGCTCATGTCGCAGAAGACGCTCAGCACCGTGGGAGATCCGTCTGGACGGATCACGTAAAGCCCGCTGGCCACGTTGCCGTCAGCGTACACCTCGGAGCAGTCTGGACACACGGACAGGTGAAGGAGGAGAGGAACAGACCCAGAAACGGGTTCAACCTCATTCTAGTGGAGGTCAAAAGAAACGACTCCATAGCTGAACGGATTTCACAAAATGAAACTGGGGAGTTCTGTTTCTGCACTGTGGCATGCAAACGGTGCATTAAACACATCTGGAGCAGCTTTATTTTCCTGCTGCAGACTAAAAATACAGGAAGTGAATAAAACCCAGCTGGGTCTCCTTTAACAGCCAACAACTAAATGTTTCAGATTAAAAGCTGAAGATGATGAAATAATCCTCCATATCCGTTGATCACCGTTGAATGATTTTATGTCATAAAAGTGTTATCTGTGATTAAACATCAAACACAAATAAAATATTGATTTTGTTTGCTGCTCAGCTTCAGATCCGACTGAAACGAGAGCAGAAACCTTCAGAACCGACCTCTATAGAGGTTCTGGGGGCCCAGGAAGGTGTTGGGGATGTGCTGCAGCTGCTGCGACTGGCTGCTATGGAGCTCCAGGATGTAGTGGTGCTGGTCTTGGATCACATTCATCAGACCCTGGATCTCAGCTTCCAGACGGACCACCTTCTCCGCACACGGTATGGGGGCCTGGTCCAGTCGGGAACAGACGGAACAAATCATGATTCCTCCTTTACTTCAGCTCTGTTCAGTCTGTTGAACTCAGAAATAATAACTTCATACGATTCATTCCAAAAAATTCAGATCTCAAAATCCCAGATAAACCCAGACTGAACTAAGGTGGACCACCAGGGACCTTCTGGTGGGCTCACCAGTCAGATGTGCTTCAGCCCCCACAGCTATTCCCATATGAAAGAAATCCTTCTTCACCTTCTCCATATCAGAGATAAAAAGACCCAGTGATGCTGAGAAACTGGTCCAGATGTTACGGCGGAGCTCTCTTACAACTTAGGACGTTTCAGATTCGTTTATTAAAGGATTTTAGAAATAATCTGATACATCAAAGAAAAAATCACCTTCAGTGACTTTTCTCACATCTGTGGTTTTCCTGTTTGTGGGGAAACAGAATTTAAAAACTAAACAGATAACAGGAGCATCTGTCAGGAACCCGACAGCATAAAAATAAACATCAGTAATTTTATTTTTATTTTTTTTTTTTTTTGCTGTATTTGGTTAAAAATGTGTTTCAAATAAAGATAACTCAGATTACTCTCTGAGTTGACAGAATATTAATCCCTCATGACGAAAAGTCTAGATGTTATTTCTTACCCCCACAGAAGAAGGAAGGAGAAGGACTACAGACACCATCAGCACCGACATGATTCCACCTGCTGCTCCGACCATCTGGATCTGTGTGGTGCCTCCTCAGTCTGTTGGGTCTTTCTGCTACGAAAGCATCACTGATCTGAGAACAGCTGGAGGTTACAACACTACAGTCTCCATCTAGTGGCTGAAAAACACCTCGGACTGAACTGGGTACTGTGTGTAACTCCGCTCGTGTTGAGGTTATAAAACTGAGACCTGATTTAAGCATTGTTGGTGCTTTTATTGCATCTGGATAAGAACGGATTCAGTTTTAAAACAACTCGGCGAAAATTATCCTTTAATTTGATGAAAGAAAAACGCGACTCCGGTGGGACTCGAACCCACAACCTTTAAATTATCCTTTAATTTGATGGAAGAAAAATGCGACTCCGGTGGGACTCGAACCCACAACCTTTGAATCACCTCTCAAGTGCTTGACTAGAAGTCCAATGCGCTATCCATTGCGCCACGGAGCCACCTGTTGCATCGAGTACCACAAGCAGATATAACCGCGGGGTGTACGGGTTGGCTTTAGTTGTGATTACTGTTCATGTGTGAAAGTAATTAACTGCTAGAGCTAATATCAGTGATTAAAAAAACCCGAAACCGAAGCGCTGACGTCACCAGCTATGCTACTGTTCGTTTTTTCTTCCTACAGGTCACTTTCGGGTTCTTGCCTCTGTGAAGAACAGATTCGCAGGTCGCGTACATGGATTACGCTGCAATATTTCCAGGTTTAGTCGAAACAATAAAGCATGTGTGTCCATATTTTCCTTCTGAAACTAGGAGGCCCAATGTTAATTACCGGAAATGCAAACCCAGCTTTACAGTTAGCCTTCAAAACAAAAGACCAAGCTTTTTATAAATGCCGGCCTCATCTACGAACTGGATTTGTAAGGTTTCGTTTTTGAACATGTGCAAATATCAGAACAAAACATAAAACCTTGATAGTCATAATAATTATCACCGTCATCCTGCTTTAACATCCAAACAGCCTCTCATCCCATAAGGAGTTGAAAAACAAGTTTTGGATGATGGACTTCCAACAGCTGAGGTTCCACCTTGTGGAAAAAATAATTGTGGCCGCTTGTATCAGCGATATCATTCTTTTGGTCATTACCCAAAGCTGGTGACCATAAATAAGGGTAGGGACATAGATCGACCAGTGTAACGAGAGCTTCGTCTCCTGGCTCAGCTCTCTCTCCACCACGACAGGCCGGTACAACACCCGGATCACTGCAGAGGCCGCACCAAATCTACCTATCGATCTTGCATTCCATATTTCCCTCACTCGTGAACAAGACCAATCAATCAATCAATCAATCAATCAAAGGGTTGTTGTAAAAGCGCTTTACAACAACCAAAGTTGCTCAGTGCTGGACAATTGTAAAAGCAAGAGTTACAATCAGGAAATAATAAAAACTAAAATGCAAATCAATATGTTCCACAACTGATACCAATTCTCAAGTGGCAAATGCCAATCTGAATAACTATCCTATAACGAGCTGAGCTCATAGAAACAGGTGGTCAATGCTTACAAAAAATATATTTAACAGATATTCCATTCAGGGTTTAATATTGTCCGTATATATGTTGGACTTGTCTAACATAAATGCATTATCTAAAGCTTTATTGTGAAAATATATATTTGAAAATGTTTCTTCCGCCTTCATTTGTTATTTTAAAATGTAGTTATTACATTTTTACTTCACTTTTGTTGCCATTTAAATTATATAATTATAATATATTTCATATATGCCCTGCAATGGACTGGCTCTCTGTCCAGGGTGTACGCCTGATTGCCCATTGGCCGCTGGAGATAGGCACCAGCCCCCCTATGAGGACAAAGCGGGTTCAGACAATGGATGGATGGATGGATGGATGGATGGATGGATATTTCATATAATTTAAATTTTTCATTTAATCAGCTGTTGTGATCAAACATTTGCTCAGTTTTTCAGTAGCTATTTTACCAAATTGTTTTTGTTTGTTTTTGGTTTTTATTTCATTTACTTGAGCAGTTTATACATTCATTGGGAAATGCAAATGCGGAAATGCTTTTCGTGTTTAAAACAAAATGTGGACCTTTCTCCCAAAAATCAATGTCTGAGTGTGTTTGATGCAGTTGTGTGTGTTTTTGGTCTTAGAACTAATAGTTTTCTAACACATTCGATAAGAAATAACAAATGTTAATTGTAAATATTTGTGACTGAATATATTTGTTACCTATTAATAATTTGATTTTGTGGATTTAGGTCCACTCTGTGGCCGCCAGAGGGCGTATTGTCTTCTAGAGCTGCAGCTAGTGGTGTCTCTTTGATTTAATCTTGTTGAACAGGAAACTAAAACAGATTTATTGTGTTTTAGTGGTGAGTAGTTTGTATAAGTGAAGACATTCTGGTTTTCCAGCTATTTAGACAAATTATGCTGTTAACGGTATTTCAAAACCCGTAGTAGTGAGATACATTTTATTTTGAAGGAATCAACAGGAAAAGCTTACGCGTAATGTCTAATGTCTTGTTTTGCTTTATGAATGCTGCCTGTAAGAACAGCTTTTGTCCGTTAAAGGCATCGACATATAAATATTAAAGGGTGAGAATTATCCTTCTCGAAAGCTAGAGTTAAAAGATTGAGATGTCATGTTTCCTTCCAGTTTGCTTAAATAATATTCGGGAACCCTTTGAGTCCAGGGGCTCCACTGTGTTTTGCACTATTACATAAAAATTGTTTGAATTGTGTTTTTAGCTAAATGAAACGAAGAGACAAGACTCTGTTGTTAACAGCCAAACGCTGTAGCGTTTTATTTTGAAAGAATTTACAGGACGTGTTTCTACTATTTATTGTAATTTTAAACGAACAGTTTCCTATTATCCCTCAACTTTTCTTAGTGTTATGTTAATATTCACAAAATGAGACAAAAACAGAATTTTTTCCCCGCTTCGTTCTGATTAGGAGGATAAAACATTCTCTCTAAATGATTTAATAGAACCAGAGTTTGGTCTGGGTTTTCGCCACTGGAGGGCGCCAATACTCCATTCTTGCTCACGCAAAAACCAGACCCTCTTAGCCTTCTAAAGCTGATAGCTAGCTTTGATATACTGAATGTGTACCAGTAGCGTGACTAATCCGCCTTCGCTTCTCGAGTTATTTTGATGGTTTATTTTTAGAATAATTATTCAATAAAGTTTTGCTTATTGTTGTAAGACAGCCAATGAGAACTATGGGACATTTTCTAGCGGGAATCTTCAAAGCATCAAAAGTAAAAATGCAAATGATAAATGTAAAAAAAGTTTGTGAACATTCTGAGGAAAATCAGTAAAACACGTTTGATATATGTACAGGAAAGTCTAATATAAACCGTCTTTAACTTTCTTCTGTGAAAATTGTGCTTTTATTCTGGAAAGACAAGGATAGGAAGTGATCATTATAGTGGAAGTTAAGCGAGTTTCAACCGGTTGAAGCTCAAAGAAAAGCAGGTATGTTTTTAATAAAATATGTGATCAATTACATTGCTGTTTTATGTAACCTAACAAGCTGTGACTAACAAATGCATCCTGGGATGTTAGATGAAAACGTTACTGGACGCTGGTTGAGTCAGAGCCCGGATAGCTCAGTCGGTAGAGCATCAGACTTTTAATCTGAGGGTCCAGGGTTCAAGTCCCTGTTCGGGCGCAAGTTTTTTTAACCCAATCTCTCATCTCAACGTTATTTTCGTCAGGTGGACATTTAATTTTTCTCACATTAATTCAAAGCTCTAATCCATAAATAGTATTTTTCTTCTAAGTAGGTCATATTTAGATTATGTTGAGATGTAAAAGCTGTTGAGTTTTATTCACATTCTGCTGTCAGTTTGGAATAAATAAACTCAGATCAGCTCAAAAACCTGAGACAAACTAGCTCTGACCATTTTTGAACAACCACCAAAAAGATGGCATTGTCATGTTATGCATTGACCTATATAATGTTACACTGGCTCTGTTCCTGAGGGGATCGGTTCAAAGCATTTACATTGTTTTTCTTTTATACTGGATAACAAATTTGCTCTCTATAAATTCTTCTATTTAATTTATTCAATACATTTGAAAAATTGTCTGTGCAGATAGATAATATTAAGTCACAATTGCGTGATATCAGTCATGGCATACCCCATGGGGCAGTACTTGGCCCAGCAGTTTTTATTTTAGATGCCTATTATTTTCTGACAGTTTTATTTTATTCAGGAACATGGCCTAATATTAATGAAGGTATTAATTAAATAAATGTTGAGTTGATGAAAATGATGAACCGGTTTGACATGAATAGGTTGTCAGCCAATCTTAAAAAGACTAATTATATGTTGTTTAATGATGGAGGCACTAATAATGTATAGTTAAAATTGGATGGGATGGAAAGTAAAGGAAACCAAATTTTTGAGGATTGTGTTTGGTGAAAATCTTTCTTGGACTCACACATTTTCAACATTACAGGTAAAATTGCCAAAGCCATAGCAATGTTTCACAGAATTAAATGTTGACTGATTATTTTTGGAACGTTAACTCTTTATAACACAGCTACACCATACTTAACATGTCATATGGAAATGTGGGGTCCCATATAAACCTTGTTCTACCACTGTGTGTATAATAAAAAGAGCATCACAACTCATCAACAAACATATTATTTGTAAAAAATAGTAATTACATTTTAAAATTTGGTGGAGTTTAAAGTTTTGCAAACTATTTAAAAAGCTTGTAAAACATTTTAAATGTTCAGTCATTGTAAGAAGAGATGGCAGCTATAAACTAAGGAGTTCAGTATTAAATATCCAAGCAGTAAAACGATGGAACAAGTTAAACAAGTTTTGTGTGTGTGTGTGTGTGTGTGTGTGTGTGTGTGTGTGTGTGTGTGTGTGTGTGTGTGTGTGTGTCGGGGGATCGGACCGCCAAAGCTCCTGCCTTGGTCTGCTACCCGATCCGCATTGCACCGGACCCTTCATGTTCCTCCTGCCGGTGGTGGATGAGCCCATGTATCCGGTTCGGGCTGGGACCGGCTGGGCCCCATGGGCAAACCCCAACCCAAGGCCTGGCCCCAGGGTTGGACCCCGGAAACCCTCCAAGCCGAACACTCTGGCTCTTTGATTTCACTTCCATGAAGAGTCTTCTGAACCGCACCTTGTCTCACACTTCACCTGCGTCTGCAGTGATGCTGTTGTGGTGAAGAAGGAGTTGCTCTCGATTTACCAGTCCTCACCTATGGTCACGAGCTTTGGGCCGAAAGAACAAGATGGCAGATACAAGCAGCCAAAATGAGTTTTCTCTGCGGGGTGGCTGGGCTCGGACATTCAGTGTAGACGCTGCTCCTCCCTATCGAGAGGAGTCAGTTGAGGTGGTTTGGGCATCTTGTTAGTATGCTTCCTGGACGCCTCCCCAGGGGGTGTTCCAGGCATGTCCTGCAGGCAGGAGGCCTCCTGGGCAACCCAGGACAGGTTGGAGAAAGTACATCTCCAGTCTGGCCCAGGAACGCCTTGGCGGAGCTGGTGGAGGTGGCTGGGGAGAAGAGGGTCTGGAACTCCCTAGTTGGGATGCTGCCCCTGCGACCCGGATAGACGGAAGAAGACGAGGCGAGATGAAGCTTAAGGAGTTTGATGCTTCAGTTTGTGTGAATTGAATTTAGAAAAAGGCGACGCTTCTGCAGAGCGGCTGGAACTAATCATGATCAAATTCTTGAATCAGATAAAACAAAATCAAAGTAAATTTTGATTTAGAATTTCTAACATTTGGACTGATGTTATAAGCAGGTTTCCATTAATCATGCAAACTGAAGTCAGCATTTATGTTTCAGGCTCTCTTTCAATAAGAATCTTATTTTACTGATTAAAGACGAGTTTATGTAAAATACATATTTTATACCAACTTTATGAACATCTCAGCTTAACCAAGTGGACACTTTCCTAAGTGTTGATTCAACTGAGCAACATCGTCTAAAGTATTGAGGTTGAACCCCCAACTGGGTAATGAGGTCAAAGTTCATTTGCAGGTAAGTTGCTGGTTCATATTTTCATGTTTCTAAAACATTTGCCATGGTGTAGGTAGGTGGGCGGGGCTTTCAGCCAGGTGAGCGGGAGGGAGAATTAGCCCCACATCCTCAGATCTGACTGGAGTTAAAAAAAAAACATGGCGGGTCTGATCTGGAATGTTCTGGCTTCACCTTTCAACATCAGAAGGTGGTGGAGACACCAGGACCAACCCTCCTACAGCCTGCGGTGTTTAGAATAAAAACGTTCCTGATTTAAAGGGAGTCAGAAGAACAGGAAGCAGAAAAGATCCAAAATGTTTTATATAATAGAAATACTTTAATTTTATCACAGGCATAATTGTAAACAAGATACTTAAAAATGCAGATTCCACTTTTTCCTCATTCAGACCGTTTCCCACTGAGGCGATCATCCACACACACACGCAAGCACACACACACACACATGCGTGCACACACGCAAACAAAAAGTGACTAAAGATTCTGCTGCATTAAAATGATTCACCGCTGATTCACTTCAAGAGCACGCACGCACGTGCACACACACACACACACACACACACACACAGAGAGAAGTTCTGCATCAAGTGGGGGGGGGGGGGGGCGTCATGTGGATGTTGTAGTAACTTCTACCTGGAGGACGCAGAGATCCTGAAACACAAAACAAATTTCGTTCCTCTCCTGCAGCTGCGTGTTAAATCTGATGTGTGTGTTTGTCTCACTGCAGCTTGTCTTGTAACAGCTCCAGCCTCTGCCGATCGACGTAGCGCGAGAACAACGACAGCAAGTTGGGGGGGGTGAAGAGGGGCGGAGACAGGGAGGACGCCGGAATGCTGAGCAGCTCCCTCGTCACAGAAAACACCAACTCGGTCCTGACCAGAGAGACAGGGTTGGACATGAAACATTCTGCCTGGTGGCAAACAGGAGTTCAAGGTCACTGAGGTCACTGAGGTCACCATCGATTGTCGTCCATGAGCTGACAGTTTGGATCGCAGCTCTGCATTCGCTCTCCTTCACTCAGGATCAGGTACAGCATCGTCACTCCGAACTGTACAGAGAAAACTCAGGTGTGTCATAAAGGTACGGATCAGGGTTTACGGACGGGCTGGGGACAGGTGTGTGTGTGTGTGTGTGTGTGTGTGTGCACCTTGTTCTGCAGCACCACGGCCAGCTGTCCCTCGCCACCCTGAAGCTCCTGTAGCAGGTCCGTGAGGGCGGAGCTTGACAGCGACTGGATGACAGGAGAAAGTGGCTCCACTAACCAACCCAACACCTGAGCAGGTGAGCAGAGACACGGCGTCAGGTGAGATCACTGCTTCTGCATCCATGACGACAGGACTAAATAAAACTTCTTAAGACATTTGTCTTTATTAGAGGCAACCTAAAATGTCTAAATATTTACTGGTTATATGAAGTTCATCCGTTTACTTAAGTTTATAAAGACTAAAGCAACATTTTTACAGGTAAATTAAATAATTATTTTATTGTTGATGTTTCTGATGTTCATGTCCATGAAGACGTTCTTGTTTAGATTCGTTAGTATTTATTTGATCTGAACATCGAGGACAGAAGTGTTAACACAAACACGGTACCTGGTCCTGTTTGTCCTTCTTGGCTAAGGCGGGGAGGTTACGAGCGATCGCCATGACAACAGCAGCAGCCTGTGATGAAGGCAGGAAGGGGAGGAGTCTGGCAACGAGCCGCTTGCCTTTCCTCACCGACATGATCATCACACACAGCTCGTCGCTCACCCTGGAGGAGGAAATGAGCAGTCACACCGATGTACCAAACAGAACCAGAACCTGACCCGCCGGCTCACCTGTGGTCCCACTCCTTCTCCATCAAGGAGCTGCTCAGCTGCTCCGTGTTGTTCTTATGCTGCTCTAGCAGGGCCTCCCTCTCCTCCTCTGGAGTCTGCACAAACCGTTTCTCAAAGTCCTGGACCTCCAGCAGCAGGCTGTACATCTAAGTGAGACGGAGCGGTGAGAACCGGGTCGCAGAGACAAGTTCAGGTGTTTGAGTGGGCTCTACCTTCTCCACGGTGTACAGGATCTGTCTTCTCTTGTTCCAGACCTGCTTCTCTCTCTTCTCCTGCAGGTAAACCAATCACAGGTGAACATCTTTAAATACACCTTCATGACGCCTGAGACCAAAGCGAACGAACCTCGTCGTCTGATCGAGTTGTCAGCACGGCGTCGATCATTTTCCTGGGGTTGTTCACGCTGGACACGGTCAGCTTCCCCAGAGAACCCGCAAACTGAACTGTAGAACAGATCCAACATCAGTCAGAGGAACAGGTGAGGCAGTCCTGTAGCGCTACAGGTGAGGTACGGGGAAGTTACCTGGTCTGTAGGTGTGTTCCACCTTAGCAACCTGGGGAGTAATGAGCTTGGTGGCGTGTTCCTTCTTACTGTTACTGCTGATGTCTCGCTCCTTGTCCTGACGTTTCTCCATCTTTTCATAGTAGTTCTACACACACACACACACACACACACACACACACACACACACACACACACACACACACACACACACACACACCTTAGTTATTTCCTGATATTTGGACATCGACTCTACAATTAAATGTTTGCTCTGCAAAGTTGTTTTTTATCTACACAAATAACACAAGCCTAAGGAGTTCTGCTGTGTGGTGGAGATGCTAATGCTAACGGTTAGCTTCTACTGGCGGAGACGTTCTTTGCCGTTTTCTGGACACTAAACTGACAGCCGTCGCGAGTCAAGAGGGGTGAGTCCATGGATGCCAGAGATAGTGAGACGTAGATCTGTCACGCTTCTGTGAACCAAGCGGTAGAAGACCGTTTTCACGCTTAGCCTGCACGCTAAACTCAGACTGACGATAATAAAAACAAGTAAAAATGGTCAGTGAACCTGATCTTTAATGGATGAATAATAAATGTGTTTTATACACTTTGTTAAATAGTCAGAACACCAACTCAACCGATCAGCAGGGGTGAGCCTGACCTCTGATTAGGACATGGCACTAACCTGGTAGTAGTAGTCATCCAGATACGGGTCAGTACTCTGCAGCTGCATCATCTGGATCTTGGTGACCCACTCCTTTTCTTTTTGGGTCATCAGGTTACTGTAGGGGTCCCTGCTACTGCGGTCCCCCCCAGTCCTGCCGCGGTCTCTGCAGGGACACAAACAAACATCAGCGGATCTCTTCAGATGGCCGGAGCTTAAAGAAACAGAGGAGCTGCTCACCCTCCCCGGCTCTGCATTCGCTGCGTCAGCATACGGCGGTGCTGGGGGTGGAGGTGTGTGGTGTTGTGGCGAACGGGTATGTGGCTGGGGGGACCGTGAGGAGGCGGCGGGCACATCCTGTGGCCGTGTGGAGGAGGGGGACCTCCAAAGAAAGGCCGGAAACCTCCTCCAGGTAACAAAGGGGCGGGGCCACCACGAGGAAAACCTGCAACCTGGAGACAAGCGGAGAGCAGATGACGAAGTCTTCTCTGAGACCCGGTTCTGTTCTCTGGGGACCTCAGAAATACAACAAAAGAGCCGGGAACAGATTGGGTCTCTGAGACCAAAGATCCAGTTTCAGCAGGTTCTGCATTTAAAACAAGTCCGGTGAACCACTGACCAGAACCACTAGAGGATTACAGGAAAGTCAGCTGGGAGGACATGAGACCGGATCAGAACCAACCGTGCTTGTTCATGTGCATCTCGGGTACAGACCTGGGAGTTGAGCAGCTGGGCTCGCTGGAGGTGGGACAGAACCGGTCCGACTCTGGGAGCGAACGGACCTCGACACAACGGTGAGTTCTGATGGGACAAAGCTGTGCTGTTATTTCTGTCACCACGTTAGTATCGAAACAGATGACAGTACAGAACCAGTCAATCGGACCGGGCCGAGAGGAAGAACTCACAGCTATATTGAGGAGGGTGTTGGGTGACAGGCGCTCAGGGAATGGGGCGGGGTACCTGTGTGGGACCGGGGCTCTCACGTGAACTGTGGTGGGATGGTGGATCTACAGACACAGAACCGGGTCAGAGGCTAGAGAAAACCCAGAACCGGGTCAGAGGCTAGAGCAGACACGAAGCAACATGAAAAACCACCATCAATAAATCACCATGGTAACAGCCCTGGAGGGTGAAACAGTCACCTGGTGATTCAGGGAGTGGCTCATCGGCTGCTTGGGTGGAGTCCCAATAGGCACGGCCCTCACTGGAGGAGAGCCAATCACAGGGGAGGAAGAACGTGGCGGTGGAACCCGCTCGGACAAGTCCCGTCCTTCATCGCTCCTCCCCTGAGGAGGACGCTTTGGGAGACCGCCCTCTTTGATGATGGACATGAGTGGACTGTCCTGCAGAGGAAGCATAAACATCCAGAGTCACCGGTTCTGAAGTTTATACGAGAGTCTGAGACCCGACGAGTCTCCCTGACCTCCATGTGTGTGACGAGTCCGGGGGAGACGCTGACCGGTCCAAAACTCATGCTGTTGTCCCAGATGTTGTGAGAGTTCATCTAAAGACAAGAGGATGTGACAAAGAAACGAGGTTCATCCTGTTCTCGCGTTCCATCAGAACCCACCAGGATGAGCGCGTTAAAGGCTGCGGTTCCTCGTTCATCAGTTTCACCTGTAAATGCTTCTTTTCACCAGCCGCCTGAAATAAATCATCTAAACCAGAAACTCCGCGTTTAAACCCGAGAAAAACGAGAGCAAGCCAACATTTAGACGGGTCCAAGCCCTTTGTTCTGCTGACAGAGTTTATTAAAACAAAACAAGAGGTTCTAAAGATTTTATGTGTTTTAGACCCGAACTGGCCCACAGAGGAGATTCTGGTCCGCTCTGTTCATTTCCTTCGAGTTTCTGTTGTAAATAAACTTGTGTTTTCATGTTTAGCCAACAGTTTCCTGTGTTCTGACTAGAGTTGTGACGGTGTGAAAATCTAACCTCACGGTTGTTGTGAACAAAATTATCACGGTTTTCGGTATTATCGCGGTATATTTTTTTTAAACGTGCTACATTTTCACACAATTAAATAAACCCTGTATGTCAGGAAATATTGTCCTCAGTTTGTGTCTAAATGTTGCCTAAAATGTGTTATTCTGTAATTATGTTGTTTATTTGTTTACATTTTTCCCCTTTAGTCTTTAAAATACCAATATTTGCCCATAACTTCTTATTTTATGTCTGTTTGATGTCATCATTTTAAAAATATTAGACCAGATGATACTCAGTACTCAAGTAGACTTCTAATCAGATACTTTTTTACCCTTACTTGAGTAATAAACCCTATATCAGGAAAATATTGTCCTCGGTTTGTGTCCTTCCAGTGAGCTTTGCAGATGTGGGAAAATGTCATCAGGCAGTAATCGTTGTTAAATTCATAATTATTCTCGGAGAGAGACCAACTCTTATCTGCCCCTGGGAGCCCCGTAATGCATAGCGTCATTTCAACATGGCGGTGTCCGCGACACGGTTTATATGCAGGTAGCGGCGCTGCGGCTGCTTTATATAGCGACTCGTTGCATTCTCCCTCAACCCAAATCCTCGGATCACACATTTTAGCTAAAACGCTAACGTTAGCTTGCCTTGCGTTGACTGTAGAGTTGTGGGTGATGGTCACGCAGATGTGTCATGAGATTTGAAGCGTTGCTGCCTTTCACAGACACTTTTTCTGCTCGTGCTGCAAACAGGATAGCCGTCTTCTATCAACTGTCCCTCGGCATTCTTCAAATATCCAAAACATGCCCGTACTTCCCACTTTGTCTTCTTTGAGGGATGATAAATGTCCTGAGCGCTGCCGTCTCCTCCTTTGGCCATTATTTCATCTTTAGCTTCAAGAAAGTTTTGGTTGTAAACAACAAAGTGCGCATGTGCCGCCGGCAACTTCAGCAGATGATACGGTGGCTGGTAAGGGTCACCGCGCCTACACCGCAGCCACGCTAATCCACCGAGATAATATATGTTTTTAAAAAGCAAGACGGTTATTATTATTGTCTACCTTTTTACCGGGTTTACCGCTACACCGGTTACCGTGACAACCCTAGTTCTGACCCGTTTCCTGTTCCCAGCAGCTTTGTGATGATATGACACAGAAACGCGTCTATACAAAACATTCAACACCTTAAAGGAGTTCAGGATGTTCCCACAGACGCACCGTGACCTGGACTCACCTGGCCCATGGGAGCGGTGCCGCGCCGCAGCAGCTGCTGCTGCTGCTGGTAGCTCAGCATCGAAGAGGAAGGAAGACCTGCAGAGGAGCAACGAGAGTCTGTTAGGTCAGGTATTTCTGGATCCTGTGTGTACCTGCGACGGCGACAGCGTGAGCTCCACTTCTAGATGCACCCGTCAGTAGAGGTGCCTCTGGCGCTTGTGCATCTCTAATCAGCGACTCGTGGACGGAACAGTTTCCAGAGTAATAAAAGCTTCTTTCTATGACCCGTTTCACCACCATGAAGGACAAACTGGATTCTGATTGATGCTGTCAAGCTGACCTGAAGTGATGGGGCCTGGAGGCAGCTGTGGTTGGCGCTGGTGAGGGATGGAGGAGGACTGCGGCAGGACTCTGGGCTGATCCAGACTGTGCAGAACTGACAGGCTGGATGCTGAGGAGCTGGGAGATGGACGGGGCCTCTCGGCTGCCCCCACACCAGCGATGGCCGGGTCTGCCTCCAGGATGAGTCGGGCCAGCGACTCGGCCAGTCCGCCTTCTCTGGCTCGGTCGTCTGCATCTGAAAGAGTTTCAAACAGGACGTCATAAAGACATTACATTTCAGCGAGAACCAGGTGATGAATACTGGGCAACGACGTCACGAACCTTGTGGTGGCAGCCCAGGGGAAGACGAGGAGAAACCGAAGGGAGGAAGGGAAGACTGAAGGGGGGGGTTTACTGAAGAGGAGGGGCGGTGGATGGAGGACCCGGGCTTGGACCCGCCTGAATCCACCTCCCCTTCAACCTCACCTCCTCCTAACCCAACACGCTCATCCAGCTCAGCCAGGCGCTTGTGTTCCTCCTGCCAGTCATCATCTGGAGGAGGAAGGAAAAGATGGAAGTTTGTCAGCTTCCTAAAGCTGCTTTTAGGGAAGATTTTTATAAACAAAAATATCAATAAAACCACCAAACCCTAAAAAAGGGTTCCGACCAAAATGGTGTCGGATCAGCAAAGATCACATGAAATCAAAACTTCCAGCATGTTTCATGTGAGACTCACCGATGGCGCCAGCTCCGAAGGTGTCATCGTTGAACTGATCTATTTCATCTTCCTCTTCTATTAGTCCATCATCTTCCTCCTCCAGCGTACAGTCGTCATCCAGGGACTGACCGGGCAAACAGGAAGAGCGGATGAGTTAGGAACCAGGAGGAATGCGAACTAAACATAAAAAAATGCTAAATCAACGAGAACACGCACATCTTCTCTGCACACGGGACCAAACACAATCACGAGTAGCTTCATTACTTTAAAAACTAATAATCCTGAAATGATTTCCAGTTTATTTGCCGAAATATTCAGAAAATCGATTCAGCTTGTTGTAATTTTACAGTTTTCATATCTTCTGGCTTGTCCCTTCAAGGGTCACAACAGCAAATCGTATGTCTCCATCCATCCAATCTCTTCCCATTATAAGGGGTCGGGTCATGGGGGCAGCAGCTTAAGCAGGGAGGCCCAGACTTCCCTCTCCCCAGCCACGTGGACCAGATCCTCCGGGGGAAACCCAAAGTGTTCCCTGGCCAGTCGAAAAACGCAGTCCCTCCAGCGTGTCCTGGGTCTTCCTTTAGGTCTCCACATGGTTGACGTGCCCAGAAAACCTTACCAAGGAGGCATCCAAGAGCCATCCTAACCAGGTGCTCAAGCCACCTCAACTGGCTCCTCTCTAGCTCTAAGGAAGAACCCGGCCACCCTGGAGAAAACTCATTTCGACCATGGAACGTAGATCGACCAAGAAATCCAGAACTTTGGCTTCTTGCTCTGCTCTTTTGGCCACGACAGACCGGTACAACGCCTACATCACTGCATCGCACCAATCCGCCTGTCGATCTCATGCTCCATCTTTTCCTCACTCATGAACGAGAATCCGAGATACTTGTTCAGTCCCAGACCCGGAGAAGACACACCCCTTTCCGACTCAAGGCCAAGCGGAGCGTGGGAGAACCAGCGCCATGTGACTCCTAATGTTAGGGGAAGCCGCGGCGCAGATGAAGTTGAAGCAGAACAAGAGTCAAGAAGATGGATAAAAAACAACAAGGTTTCCTAACAGGAATAAAACCGTGACGGAGGCTAGAGATCTGTATTTTCAGAAATTGTCTATAATCAATAACGTAGATCTCTACGACCTCAAAGGAACCAGGCAGAGCTCAGACGTTTCATTACTGCCGAAAACATATCACTGAAGTTAAAGGCTTAATTGTTGCATTTTAAAGGATGTACTTGCATTAATATGAATAATTAACATTACATTAGTGGTTATCTCGATAACGTCGACAATAATATCATTTATTGTCAATAACTTGTTGGACAATATTTCGTCCTGCAAAATTTGTTAGAGTCCCGATTCAGAAGACATGAAGACAAAATACCCGGATCCAAACCCGTACCCTTACAGAACACAGGTCCACATCCACTACAGAACCTGGGTTTTGGACCTGGTGCTGACACCAGTCTGGATGATCCTCTTCTTTGGTTCCAGTCCATATGGAGTCCAATTCCTCCAACAAAAACTTGGAAGACCGTTGTAATTCCCATTTTCCCAGTGAGTTTGGTCAATCCCAGATAGTCTAAAGAGGTCACCACCACCTCTGGACTGAGTCAAGATCAGGTTTCTGTTATGTTAAAAAGTAAAAGCTGGTTGCTCCATGGTGTAGAACTGGGGGGGGGGGGGGGGGGGCTTGGCCCTAGAGGGCCGCTATCCAGCAGGTTTTAGTTGTTTCTCTGCTTAAACACACCTGGTTTGAATCTGCTGTGATTAACAGGCTGCTGCAGAGCCTGGTGAGCTGCCGCACAGGTTTGTTGATTTTTGTAGATAATAAGGACCTAAATAGGAAAGGTTCAGAGTCTCAGACTGAACAGGAAACCACTTTAGATCTTCTCCATTCCCAGTGAGTCGTGGAGGATGGCTGCTTATACCGAGCCAGGATCCTCTGGAGGTTTCTTCCTGTTAAAAAGGAGTTTTCCTCTCCACTGTAGCTATATGCTTGTTAAGTATGAGGATTGCTGTATAGTCACAGACACTAGTCAGTGACTTGATGCGACCCGCTGGGTTCCTTATATAGGAAACTTTTTTCTGATTGGCTTAATGAACTGACCTGAATTGGAATGTTTATTATGTGAAGTGCCTTGAGACAACTCTTGTCGTGATTTGGCGCTTTATAAATAAACTTGAATTGAAAAGTTTACAAGTACCTGTTAAGACCACCTTTTTACCTAATTTTATCTCATCAGTCAAAGGGTCTAGAATAACCCAGTCCCAACTCTTGCTCTACATTTGCTAAGAGTCTAAATGCAGAACTAAAGATGACTGTAAATGAAGCTAGTGGGGGTTTCCTTTACTGATAATCTAAACTTAAATCACGGTGAAGCAGAAAAGCTGCACGCGACCCTCAGACATCCTGCAGACAGCCCAAGGACCAGTTAGCTTCGGTGCTAACCTGGACATTACATCACATAAAACACATCAGTAGAAAATCTGTCAAATAAAATCATGTCGGGTTAGTGACCGCAGTCTGGCCCTGTACAGCAACACGATACGAATCACACAGCCGGGTTATCTGGGCCGACAGAGGACGGGGAGGCTAGCCGTCCCTCCGGCTCACGTCACCAGGAAAGCGGGCTGCTTCACAGGCCGCAGACCGCATTGAAGTCTGGCAGCCGCATAAACAAAGGCCAGAAGCCTCACGCGGACCAGAACCACAAGAGAACATTCGATACACACAAACCTCCCGGTTCTGGTGGGGTCCAGGCTCACTTACACGGACCAATGCTCACCTGAAATCGAAACATCGATCCTCAGGTTGTCGGGAAAAGGAGAGCATCAGGAGCGAAGCTGCGCGCAAACGACGCAGCGGGGACGGGACGTCTTTCACTTAAGCGCGTGACAGCACAGTGAACGAGCACGTAACTGCGTGGCTGCTGGTGACGTTGAGGCTACGCTGGAAAAACAGGAAGAAGGACAGTAAACACAGAAAACGGAGAGACACGGTAAACAAATATGTTTTTATTGATATGAGCCTGGTTTTGTTTTCTGAATGTTTTTGTTTTCGACCCCTTTCATTATTTATGTTAACTAAATGCATTTAGCGAAACAGGCAGATTAATGAATTGCTGTCAAACATCAGATGAGTCTGGGAAGCAGAATATTTTAAATCCTTGTTTTATAAATCATGCATAATAATGATATTTCAGCTTTTAGGTAAAAAGTATCACATGACCTCTTGAAAAAGTGTAATTATAAATGTGTTATATAACAAACACTTAAAGTGACAGTGTGTAATTTTCCTGGCGATAGGGGGCGGTAGATACCTAAATCGTTGCAAGCAGTTTTTTTTTGTGTTGGAGTAAGACCATGCCAACGGATATCCATTAGGGTCAAAAAGCCCTGGGGAGTGTAAACTTTTGCAAAATAAATGGTAAATGGTAAATGGCCTGTATTTGATATAGCACCTTCTAGAGTCCTGGAACCCCCCAAGGCACTTTACAACACAATCAGTCATTCACCCACTCACACACACATTCACAAACTGGTGGGGATGAGCTACGATGTAGCCACAGCTGCCCTGGGGCGCACTGACAGAGGCGAGGCTGCCGAGCTCTGGCGCCACCGGTCCCTCCGACCACCACCAGCAGGCAACGTGGGTTAAGTGTCTTGCCCAAGGACACAACGACAGCGACAGACTGAGCGGGGCTCGAACCTGCAACCTTCCGATTACGGGGCGAGCACTTAACTCCTGTGCCACCGTCACCCTCAGACACTCTTTCATCACTGGCAACAAGTGAAGATGTACATGTGTAAAACAACATTTAAGAATGACAAGAGTTTTGTAACCGCTTGTTGCTAATCAGTAAATGAAATTTGTCCTCATGGGCTCCCGTAGAAGGACACATTGCATCAAATAAGCCGTCGCCCAGAGACTTAGACCCACTCCCATGTGTGGCCTGATTTATACTTCTCCGTCTGCATCAATGCGGAGACACGCAGCGCCATTATAAGTCGGCGCAAGGGCTCTCCGACAGGCTCACAGAGGGTGACGGAGACAAGCCCAAAATTTTAAACATCCGTCGAAAGTGACGGAGACTGCAAGCCTGTGATTGGTCAGGACGCTGCTTCCTGTATATTTGTCATCAGCACCGCTGTAACTTCGTTAAAAAGTAACCAGATATTTAGCCAATATTTAGCAGCAGACCCCGAACAGATTGAAGAACGCATCACGGAAAAAGTCCAAAAATTATCAACATTTATTCACCCATGAATGAAGGAGTACAAAATACAGAGCAAACGTGGACGGAAGCGATGGGAAATGTGGGTTTAGAGGTGGCGTTCGCATGAAGAGGTGGACGAGAATGAAGGACAAATTTGGCCCTGTTATAAAGTCTCTGAAATAAATAAACATATTAGTAAATACACTATCGGGGACTGGATACGTTAGTGTTATGGTGGCAAGATACCACAGAAAAGCGCTACGCCCTCTGTTGTCCTGCTGGGGAATTGCTTTGTAACACTCTTTTTTGTTATTATCAACATATGCTTATTACAGTTTCTCGTGGAGACAACAACACATAATGGAAACATGCAAGGCATCCTTAGTAACAATAAAAGAAAAACAAATAAGAAACTTAAAAAAGAGGCACTTATATCACAAAGTAAAAACCGTGTTACAAGATGAAACACTTTTCTGCAGCATGACAAATGGCTTTTGCAGTTGCATTTGAATTTTTTATACGAGTCAAAGCGAATAAGAACATACGAAATTCCTTCATGATGCAGTTCATGTTTGGCAGTTGTTTTTTCCATTTGCTTTTGTGGATGTGGTATTTAGAATAGAATAGAATAGAATAGAATACTTTATTTGTCAATTCTTCGAATGTGCTTGCCATACAAGGAATTGAAATTACGTTTCACACTGTCCCATGCGTAGACATTTACATAAAGTGCAGATGCACAACAATAACAAAACAAAAAACATCCCTAACAATAAGATAATATTAAACAGGTAAATATCGCTAATAATATACAAAACATATAGCAGCAGGTGTGTGCAATTTCTATGCAGAGGTAGTTGTTTACAATCAGAAATGTTTACCCCATTATTGGTTCAACCACTATTTCCTTTTTGTATAATGTGTATGTGTGTGTGTGTGTGTGTGTGTTATTATTTACCCATAATAATAATAATAATGTTAATTAACGATGAAATATTCCCATTTAATTTAGAATTGTAAATAATAATATCTTCATTTGTAAAACGATCAACTTCTCTTATTTTATTTCTTCACCAACAATGGGCTTCTTCCCAAAACTTCTTACTTTGTAACACTCTGCTGCCTGAACAGAAGTTCGAATGTGAAAACCTTTCCGACACCCCATGTGTGTTTCTCTGTTGCGGAGCTCACGGAGAAGTATAAATCAGGCTTTAGACCTGATTTTTATGGTTATATGTTATGAAGCTGCCAGTATTTCCCAACAACTGGGCATCGTTTCATCCATTTTCAACAACATTTTAATGGATATTTCCAGAGGTTAATGGTAAAATCTACACATTGCCTCTTAAAGCTTAAATTTAAATCTAATAGAAGAGTGGCTGAAATTTCCATCAAAGCACTTGTGGCTCTAAATCATCCTGGTGTTGCATCAGGATTAGTACCTTCATCAGAAACCAGTTACAGTCCCATACAGGTATGTTGCCTCCAGGTGGAGGGTGTACAGGTGGTGAGGGCCGAGGTCATTTGTTTATGACACGTTTTTATGATGTTATTATATTAACATTAGACAATAAATAATCCACTTTAAAACAATATTATTATATTATTATTTTATTTTTCAGACTTTAACGGTTAGGTTCTTAAACCACAATTATGTGTTTTAAATTTCTCATGTTTTAGCCTATTAAAATGTACATGTGTCAAAAAACACAAAGCTTATCTGTGAGCAGCGTTTTAATCTGTAGATTTGAATTGTTTGTTTGTCTGTTTTTCATCCCAGGCTGAAACATCGGAGACTCTCGGGATCTAGAGCAGGACCATGCTAGTCTAGATTCATCTCATCAGTCAAACCGGTAAAAAAACCCAAATCATTTATTCAAATCAGGAGCAACAGAAGTCTGTGAACTCTATTAAATAATGCAGTTTCACTCTGCAGTCAGTCCAGATTAGGAGTCACATCTGAGGCATTAACCTTCCAATTACCATAACAGCTTGTGACCATTCCCTCCAGTGATCCCAGTATTAGGAGCTGCTGCTGGTGTCATGGTGAAGTGGCAGCTCTTCACCCTAGATCACCTGAACATCTGCGGGTTTGGTTGTCCTCCTCCACGACATGGGCTCCAGCTGCTGTACTGGTTCGCCAACCACTGTCTGACCTTTGACCCAGGTGACTTTGAAGATGTCATGAAGGTCAGATCATAAATCTTTGAGCAGATCGTGTTCCTGAGCATCATGTTTTACTGCTCTGTTTGGATGTTCTACTTTGTGATCTGGTCTCACAGCTGGCGTCCGACTGTCAGCCAGAGAACAGCGTCTACGGGTTCCACCACTTTGGGAACACGGAGGAGATCCTGCCTGTTCTCTGCAAACACAAGAACAAAAAGAGCAGGAGACAGGTCTGCACACATATCCCACCAGGATGGGCTTATTCCTCCCTCAGTTGACCCACCAGAAGTGTTTTCTGCTCTGATCTTAACAGAACCAGTTTGGAACCCAGATTTTCACTCAGCCCAGTTGAATGTTTCTCTTAATGGTTCTGTTTTTCTCTCTCCACCCAGCTGGTGTACTACGTGGTCGGAAACCTGAACACCAAGACCTACCCAAAATCTGCAGAACTCCCAAAGTTTGTGAGGGAAAATTATGAGATGGACAGCAGCGCCAACATCGACCGCATCATCATCAGCTACCAGGTCCAGAACAGAAAGGTGGAGAAGGTGTACATCACAGAACACGACGACGAGCGCTATGGGAGGTTCCAATATGACAGGACCCACGAAATCCTCCCTGAGCTCATCCAAGCCCTGCAGAACCCACAGCAAGAGCTCAGCACCTTCCTCACACAGATGGGTTACTATGGAGATGTGGAGACGCAGAACTCAGACCCGTCTGATCAGCTGATCCTCAGCGTGATGCAGAATGATCCGTTTGAATCTTTCTCTGAAGCTTTTAGTCAACATGTTGATCTGAACTTTGACCCCTTCAGCTACAACCAGCAAGGTCTGCACCAGTTCAGCAGCACTGGACCGGACCACAGGAAGGTCCAAAAGAAAAACAAGAAAGCAAAAACAAACAAGAGACTGACGATTATGAGACAAAGTTCCTGGGACCCAAGATGGTATCAGCCTGAAGGTAAAGGTCCAGTCAAGGTCCGGTTCTGTCAGTTAGAGTCCAGTCCACCTTGGTTCTGCAGGATTCTGTCTGTTTTTAGTTCCAAAGTTATTTATAGATTTTTTTTTTTATCTTTGACGTTTTTGACAGTTTGATCCCATCAGAACCCGATAAAGGTTCTGGTTGGACCGAGCATTCAGATCCAACTGACCTTTTCTGATTTTCTGTCTCCAGATTTTAATAAAGAGGAGGAGAAACGGACCGAAGGCAGGTTCAGCTGGTCGAAGCTTCTGTTTGGACTTGGAGCTTTTTATTTAGCAGCTAAATGTTTCAGGTGGTTAATGAGGAGCTGCTGGTACCAGAACCTCCACCAGAACCACAACCTGTTCAAGACGATCCATCCAAGAACTCCCAGATGTGCTGCTCCTCATGTCATGCTGGACTATATCTACTGACCCATCAGAATGTTTGTCTTCTGCCGCATTCAGGACTTTGGAGTTCTGATACCGGCGTTGAACACAACATCGGATGATTTTAACAACAGATTCTACATATTTAACATCCACAAAAAAAGTTTAATTTTAGCTTAATTTTATATTATCTGGTCACAATTTTGTATTGTTGTTTAATTAGATTTCTGTTTTGACTTTAGGATTAACCCTCTCAGGCTCAAGATAAGTTTTGATAAAAGGACAAACAACTAAGTCCTTCAGGGGTACTTCTGAGTTAAAAAATGCTCATGAAGTACGTGTGTGGAGTAACCAGTTAGGTTGGTTTTAACTGTTGCACATCTGCAACGCCTGCCTCCAGAGGGTTAAAGGTGATCCCGAAATCTTAGACTAGCTCCTCCTTATCTGTCCAACCTGCTCGCCCCCTCTGTACCCACGTGCACGTTAAGGTCAGCTGATCTTCTGCTGCTTTGCACACCCAGGAGGTCCTACAAATCACGGGGTGGATGAGCGTTTGTCCATGCTGCTCCCATGCTTTGGAATACACTTCTCATTACAGTTAGACATCCTGGCTATTTTTAAATCCTGTTTAAAGACCTACTTTGGCCTTTAGCCAGTGACTCATTTATTGTCCTTTCTTATTGTTTTTGCTGCTTTTATTTGCTTTTACTGCCTTGCATTGATGGTTCTACTTCTATTCGTTTTTCTGGCTTATTTTGTTTTTAAATTGACTTGCCGTGCAGCACTTTGGTCAGCTCTGTAAATAAAGTGGTACGGTTTTGCTGATTCTTTTGCTAAAACAGTAAAGTTTATTTTTGACCTAATTCAGACTGACACCTAGAATAACACTTTGATCATAAATCATCTGAAACGGGAGCACAGCAAAGGAATTAAGCTCATTTTGTCACCTCAGCTCAAATTTCAGACGGACAAACATAAAGTTCGTGTTTCCTTCCTTTTTACACTACGCCAAATCTTGTGCTGTCCGGGTTGAGTCCTTTAGAAAACTGAAAACATATTCAAAGTAGTGAACATTGATCTTCAGGTATTGAGATTATTGTCTAAATTGAATGTAACATATTTTCAGTTCAGCAGTCATGTTTGTGGGTTAAAACAAAACACCACATTACTGTCTTGTTTTTACTGTTTGGGTCTTTTTGCTTTGAAGCGGAACCGAAAGCACTGCTGCTGTACTGAATGTTTCAGGCTGTTATCCTAACTGGCCCTCCTGTTTTTCACCAGCAGCAAACAAAGAGCTGTTTTGGCGCCATGCGTTTAAAAGTCCAGCACAGCCAATCAGTGTAAAGAGAAGGCACACAAACATGTTGGCTTGACCTCACTGAAAACAACCAATCACAGTTGCTAATGTGACGTTCGAAATTTAAATACGTTGTTTTAGCCAATCCGAGAGCGAAGGAGGAGGAGTTGTAGAATTAGTCGGATCCAAGTTCGGTCGGCCCGACAGACGGTGACAAAACAGCTGCGTTTTCTTCCTCATTCAGTCGCGTACTACTTGCCCCGCTGAGAACAGGTAAGGAAATACTGTTTCTATCGAATAACTCCGCGTTTTTAAGCAATAAACTTTTAAATAACCGAGGTTCGCGTCTTTATTTAGAATCCGTCGGTCACTGAGTAATTATATAGCCACAGTTAAGTTGTTTGACTTTTTTTGCCTACGTGATAAATCACAACGTTGCATATAATCGATTTAATAAGGGTAATAAGTAGTTTGCTAATGTTTAACATTCAAAATACCGACGTTCTGATGCGTTTTGAAGCAGTTCGATCGGTTGTGGTCTTCGTTAATGGCGTGGCCAACTTAGTGCGCAGTTCAAACGCCATTTGGTCGGATCGCTCAGCCGCGCCACGACAGAAACTCCCAACAGCTAAACACGCGAATCAACGCGGTTCGTTTCCGTCGCGTTCATACTATTTAAGAGTTTCATCGCGGATATTTGAAAGTTGTTGTAATTTGTGTTTAGTTCAGTTGATTGGAAGTTTCGGCGCAGATGGCGTTTAGGCGGGAAGATACAAAATGGAGTCTGGTCTTTTTGTCCCGGAGAGGCAGAAATCCGATTAGAGTCTGAAAACACCGCCTGGCGTCTGCTTTAACTGTTCTACCTCATTACGAACAAACAGCTGCGGTTTATTTACTTAACATATACATGTGTAACTTACAATATCCCCAATTAAACACGAATTTAGTTGATTTTTACTAGTCTCGCGCAGCTCTTTTTTTCTTTTTCTTTTTACATTTTGTTAAATCCGTTTGTTAGATAATTCGCAGCCATGACAAAGGACCCGAATAAGCCCAGAGGGAAGACCTCCGCATATGCTTTCTTCGTGGCGACCTGCCGTGAGGAGCACAAAAAGAAACACCCAGGAACCAGCGTGAACTTTGCAGAGTTCTCCAAGAAATGTTCCGAAAGATGGAAGGTAGGTTGATCTCGTGGGAGCAAATTACTGATTCCGGAGCGGGCGGGATTTGTTGTAGTGCCTCTATACTTCTTTTTTTTTTTTTTTTTTTTAATAAGACCATGTCAGCCAAGGAGAAGGTGAAGTTTGATGAGATGGCCAAGACTGACAAGGTTCGATATGATCGGGAGATGAAAACCTACGTCCCTCCTAAAGGTGCCAAGAAAGGGAAGAAGAAGAAGGACCCTAATGCCCCAAAGAGGCCACCGTAAGTCCAGTTCAGGTTTTCTATGTTGGAGATTTATTTCCAGTCATTAAATGTCATCCCACCTCTCTGCAGCTCAGCATTCTTCGTCTTCTGTTCCGACCACCGTCCCCGCATCAAGGAAGAGAACCCTGGAATCTCCATCGGAGATGTTGCCAAGAAGCTTGGCGAGTTGTGGTCCACACAAGGCTCCAAAGACAAGGCGCCATACGAGGCTAGGGCTGCAAAGCTGAAGGAGAAATATGAGAAGGTACGCTCTGCCCTCAACTTCTCGTTGGTACCTTGTTCTCTACTTTGGAACGTTCTAATGTTCTCTCCTGCAGGATGTTGCTGCCTACAGAGCAAAAGGAGGTTCAGGGAAGAGCGATGCTGGCAGGAAGAGCGGCCCTGGCCGGCCTCCAGCCAAGAAGGCCGAACCAGCAGACGATGATGATGACGAGGATGAAGATGAGGAGGAGGATGAAGACGAGGAGGATGATGATGATGAATAACCAGTTAAAATGTGAAAGGATGTGAGGTTTGCCATGCATTGTTCAGCTTAACGTTTTCTTTTTGTGTGAAAGAATTGCAACAAGTAGCCTGCTGTCCCTGTGGGTCTGACAGACCTGAACTCCTCTTCTGATTCAGGGAATTTATTTCTCCCCTCTTGGTCCACTTATGATGTGTTTCTGCTGAACTCTGGTTTCTGACATCGTAGAGCCTTGTTTGACATTTTAAACTCATTAAATGGACTGAAGCTCCTTCAGTGGACAGCAGAAAGTCAGGTGTGGTTTTTGTTTTCTGGTTTAAACATGGATTCTGGAAGCACTGCTCATGTTTCTGTTCTAGTGGTGTTGTTTCTTCACTGTTTTACTACCAGGATTTGTCTGTAGCTTGATTTTAAAAATGTTTGCAGCCATTTTAAAGTGGAACTTAAACTTGTAGAATGGAATCTTTTTGTAATAAAATTTTGTATATTGACTTAAGTGAAGTTTTTGCATCTTTTGTTTCAGTTAAAGATTAGTTAGGAAAGTTGCATCCTTCTGAATAATTTTTAATGATGAAAATGTTGGCGTAGGGTTAAAGTATTAGTAAATTTTATTTCTGTATGCTGGTGAAGGTTCTCATCCACGTCCTGGTAATCTAGTTGCCTTCATCTGAACCCTTTTGGATTTTATTTGAAGCCAGTTAACGGGAGAATGAAATGCTTAACCTATATAAATGGTTACTTGTTCTATGAAGTTTTAAATAGTTTATTCACATTCCTAATAGTTTAATGGCATCTGACAGAACTTGTAAATTTCAGAAGATGTAGCTTTAGCAGGAATGACTGCATCCATGTGTAGATGCACTAGTCTGCATCAGAGTTGAACCAGACTAACTTCAGAGTTATTAACCTTGAGCTAGAGCCAAATCCCATTGGAAAATGAAACTGGCTTTTCCAGAAAACCTCTGAAAGGTCCTGATGTGGACAGACCTGGACCCAAACCATCAGAATAAACTTCCCTCTGGACCTCAGTGACGTAATTCTGGACACCTCCATTCTTCAGACTCATACCGTGACTTCCAAATTGCATCCAGACTAAATTTAATCTGGGGGAAAAAAACAATCTAGGACCACTGGGTCTAGGTCTGGTTTTCCGTGGCCCAAGATGCTTGTGACGTTGTCTCTGGTTCCGGTTTCCGTTGTTTATTCTGATGATTTCAGGGGGATCAGAATGAATGAACGCAGAAACGTTCTGAGCATCATCACTCTTAAGACCGGAAGCTCTGGCTGACACACCAAGCAGCCAATAGCAGATCAGATTGTTGATTCCCCCTGACCAATCAGAGGCGGCGCTGCAGCAAGCCCCGCCCCGCGCGTTTGACGGTGAGCAGCAGCAGGACCGACGCGTTTCAGCACCTGGGAGCTGTCCGCAGCTCACGAGCCTGCCAACAGCTGACGGTAAGAGCGGGAAACGGACACAACGGACTGCTGTAAACAACAACAAATCAAACATGAAAGGAGACGCCGAACCGAGATGCGAACGTCTGTCGGCGCCGCCGCAGCGTACGAGCTCCCGGCGTCACGCAGGTGTCTCGGTACACTCGGTCACGGATTAGTTTGTGTCTCTGAAACCTGTTGATTGCATTTTTGTCTGATTTAACCAGAAACCCCAAACGGACGGTTTAGTTCGGTGGTTCCGACCCGCCACTCATTCACCTTTAATGAATTTATATTCAGGCGAATTGAAGTGAGTCGCGTCCGGCCGCGGTGTGAATTGTCCTCTGATGGACAGACGTTGCTCTGATCTTAGCTGAAAGCGCCAGAACCTGGTCCAAAAGCACCAGGAGGATCCGAGCCGGGCCTTCCCACGCCGATAGGCACCTCCCCGGGGAGAGGCTCGTTAAGCCTCCCTAGTGTGTATTTAGCACAGGCAGGGAAGGTTCGAGTGTGATTAAAACTCTAATGACGTCTGCTCAGACCGCTCACCTGTATCAGAACCATCATTAAGGTTCCAGCTGTGGGCCTCCTGGTCAGAACAGCTGGTCCGATTAGAGAGACGGAACCAATCTCCAGGATGATGTCCTGAGTCTGTTCATACTGCTGAGGGATTATAATCCCTGCTAAATTACAGATGTAGCTGTTGTATGATGTCACCGACCAATTAAAGAGCAAGTCACTCCAAATCAACATTTTTTTTTTGCTGATAAACTATATAAATGAGTGTCTGATCGTGCTGCAGACACGTGTGGTCAAAAATTCATCACTTCAGTGCATCTTAGTTAAAATTTTAATATTCTGCCTAAAACTGTCAGTGTTGCACCGTCGTCAGGCAAAAACTCAGCACTGCATTTGAATTTAAATCTGCCATCGCTATTGGCTAAGAAGTACACTATGATGTTAGATGGTACATTATGATGTCACAATGTCATGAGCGTGTGTATTTGTTAGCGGCTCCGCCCTCTCGGTCTGCTTGGCAACAGCATTTGTTGCATTTTTCAAACAGAAAGTGGGAGTTGAGTAAGAATCTGGTAGGGGGTGACTTGCTCTTTAAATAGAGATCTCTGCATCATACCTATTATTTAATAAACCTAATTTACTGTAATTAAAGTTTTTATTATTATTATTTTATACAAAATAAAACCAGAGAAGAGATGTAGACATATTAAACAAAAAAAAATTGTTTTTTAAGTAAATTATTGGTTTGGAATCAGAAAGACCCCCCAGCTTGCTGCTGATGTGTCGCCTGCCTTCATCCTGTCATCATCGCTGACTTGGACCAGCTGTTTGAACAGAGAGACGTTTACATGTGAATCAGCTGATTAGCATCCTAGCGGAGGAGGAGGCAGGATAACGACCAACAGGCCTCTGAAGATTCCTTTGATAGGAAATCCTCATCACCGCGGTCCAGCCGGCTCACAAGCACGTTTTTATTTAGTCAGCACTTTATTTGTTACAGGCTGTCGATCAGAGAATACAACCAAACCAAAGATGGGATCATCTGTCAGCTGATCTCTGCAGCCTCTCTGGTATTCCTTTGCACCTGCAGACAGGAAGCAGCCTGGACCAATCACAGCTCAAATTAATTCAGTCTTTAATCATTTTACAAATTCTGCCCCATTAGCCTGCTGCTGGACGTAGTCTTAACACTCAACTACCTCTGGGATGTAAAACACTGTCAAGGTAACAGTGTTTGTGTGTGCGTGTGTTTTGCAGGTGAGGATGGCCAAGGTGCAGCAGGTGGGCCTGCTGGCGGCCGGCTGCCAGCCCTGGAATAAAGATGTCTGTGCAGCGAGTGGAGACCGCTTTGCCTACTGTGCTACGCTAGCCATTTACATCTACCAGGTGACTTACCTGTGTGTGTTTGAGGAGGTGGATGCATAAAATCTGGCTTTATGCACCAGTTGAAGAACAGAAATGTTTATTTTGAGGATGTGGGTCAGATAAGTAACCAGACAAGCTGAAACATCAGGAGATTTCATCTTTACATGACGCTAATATTTAAACATGTTTCCTTAGACAGCAGCACAAAAACAGTCAGAGTGCTTTATGTTGTTAAATCAGACAATTCATCGAACTTTTCATGCTTTTTAAAGATTTAAGTCATGATGAAAGTTCAAGTTTAAAATAAACAATTCAGCGTGAGTGTGCAGTTTGTGGATCGGGGGCTAGCCATCCCTCGTCTGAGCCCGCTTGTCCATGCAGGGTCGCGGGGGGCTGGTGTCTACCTGCAGCAGTCAGCGGGCAAACGCAGGGCAACACAGAGGACAAATGACCATGCACACACACACACACACACACACACACACACACACACACACACACACACACACACACACACACACACACACACACACACACACACACACACACACACACACACACTCAGGATCATTTAGAGGATCAGTCACCCTGACAGACAGATTTTTGGACTGTGGGAGGAGGCCGGAGTACCCGGGGAGAACCCACGCATGCACAGGGAGAACGTGCAAACTCCATGCAAGGCAGCAGTGCTGACCACTGCGCCACCGTGCGGCCCAATCAGGGCCTCACATATCCTGAGTCAGAGTAATGTGTGATTAAATATCTCACAATAAAACGCCTTAAAGAGCAGGATCACTGAGAAGCAGTTTTTACTTATTACTTTTGAAAATGATCGATCACTCTGCAGGCTGGACATCTTCTGCTCTAAGTTCCTGCGTTAGCTTCTGATAGAAAATAGAAGCTTGGCAGATCTTGGCCTCACCCACCTGGACTCAGGACAGGGACGGCCGTTGCTGGCTGAGAGTCCAGGAAACGGCAGAGAGCCTTTCGGCTAGTGGGAGCTAACCATTCACGCCCGCTCGCTCTAAGCTTTTCCCTCTTTTCCTGCTGCAGCTGGACCAGCAGTATAATCAGTTCAAGTTGAGGTCCATCATGTCGGAACACAAAAAGACCATCACAGCGATCAGCTGGTGCCCCGACAACCCAGACCTGTTTGCTTCTGCCTCTGCCGACAACCTGCTCATCATTTGGAACGTGGCAGAGAAAAAGGCCGTCGCCAGGCTGGACAACACCAAAGGTGCGAGGACGCCGAACGCCTCTGCAGGGTTGTCGCTCTAAAGCGTTACCGTGTCCGTTTGTCTCCCTTAGGTGTCCCCGTGTCTGTCAGCTGGTGCTGGAACTCTGCTGATGGGCTGGCCTTCGTCTCCCAGCGTGGGCCGCTGTACATCTGGGCCTATCGAGGTTCTGATCCAGGAGTCACGGTGCACAAAGAAGCCCACTCCTTCCTGTCAGACATCTGTCTCTTCAGATGGCACCCGACTAAGAAGGGCAAGCTGGTGTTTGGACACACGGACGGCAGTTTGTCCATTTTTCAGCCGGGTAACTTCCACACGCACATCAGTAGATGATGTGTTTTTGTGTTAACACGCGTCTGTATGCTCCGGAGCAAAGAACCCATACCAAACAAACAACACAGACACGTCGTAATCTGGTGTCTTAATCTGGTGTTTCATCAAGATTCATCTAAAAACCAGCTGGTTCTCACAGGTCAGTGAATGCATCACTGCTGAGAAGGTGGAAAATCTGGCGTTTTCAAAGGATTTTTTTAGTAAATTGTAGTTTAGAGAGCTAAACTGGTACCAGCAGGTTTCACCAGTATCGGCCTTCTAAACCAGAACTGATGCTTCTCTGGTCTCCTGAGACAGATTTAAATGTTTTTCGTGTTTTGGCGACTCTCCTCTGATACTTTTGCTCTTCTTTTCAGGAAGTAAAAGCCAGAAACACGTTCTGCGTCCGGAGTCCCTGGAAGGGACCGACGAAGAGGATCCAGTCAGCGCTCTGGAATGGGACCTGCTTTCCACTGACTACTTACTGGGTCAGTCTAATGTTCTACTACTACTAAACTTTATTTATATAGCGCCTTCACACGGCCCAAGGACCAAACAACGCGCTGCACAGCAGAAATAAACGTTAAAGAAAAATAAAAACATATAAAACCATTTAAAAACCAACAAAAACATGCAGATAAAGTCTAGGTGGGGCAGCAAAAACGTGCAAAACCATCAGTTAACGGGACTCTTCTTGAATAAAAGCTAAAGAATAAAAGAGAGTTTTCAGCTGGCTCTTAAACTTGCCGAGCATGCTGGCCTGTTTAACCCATGTAGGTAGCTCATCCCAGAGCCTCGGCCCCAGCACCGAGAAAGCACGACCCCCCCGAGATTCCAGTCTGTGTTTGGGAACGACCAGCAGTCCTTGTGCTGACCGAAGGTTCCTTGCGGGAACATGAGGATGGATCAGATCCACCGGATATCGTGGAGCCAACTCATTTAAACCAAACACCAGAACTTTAAATGTAATTCTAAAAGAGACTGGAAGCCAGTGTAGGGATGCCAAGACAGGAGTGATGTGCTCAGATCTCCTGGTACCAGTCAGTAACCTGGCTGCAGCGTTTTGGACCTTCTGTAGTTTTACTATGGAGGCCTGCTTGATGCCTGCATGAAGCGAGTTACAGCTCTCTCAGCGCAGCTGGTTTAGGCATGTAAGGGTTCAAACTTTGAGTCTGGTCAGAGAAGAAGAAGAAAAAGAAGAAGAAGAAGAAGTTCTATAGCACCTCTAAAGATAAACATCACGAGGCACTTCACAAAAAAAGTTAAAATATAAAAAATAATTTAGAAAATGATTCAAAATATATTTAAAATGAGCAAAAAATAGACAATTGTGATTAAAAATGTAAAGAAAGAGAGAGAGTGAGTAGGATCCTGAGGATGAGGCGGGGAGAACAGAACAAGGAGAGGGTGATGAGGGTCACACCAAAAGTTCTGCCATTTGCTCAGTAACGACCTCTGGACCAGAGAAAGTTCTGGTTCTGCTGAATTGGTAAATCTGATCTGAGACGTGGATCGTGTCTCCTTCCCAGTGTCCAACCTCCATAACGGGGTCCGGCTGGTGGACAGTGAGGCGTTGGTGTGCATCACGTCCTTCTGCTTCCCGTCTGCTGCTGCGTCCGTCCAGTGTTTGGCCTGGGTCCCGTCTGCACCAGGAATGTTCATCACTGGAGGTAAACGGGTTTGGGTTTGTGGTCCAGCTGGTCTTCTCTGTTCGGATCATTTAGTTTTCTCATTGATGACAGGATTTGGTTTTTAGGCTGAGGAAACAAACTCACTTACACGTTTCTGCCAGACTCACAGGTGGGAGTGTTGAGAGTGTGGAACGTGTCCCGCTCCACACCGCTGGACAGCTTTAAGCTCAAGAAAACCGGATTTCACGCTTTACACGTCCTCAGCTCCTCTCCTGCTAAGAAAGGTAAACTTCCAAAACCAGAATCTCTGTGGCTTTCCTTCCCCAGAGCAGGAGGAGGCCTCCAGGGTTTTCCCGCCCTTTACACGAGTCACACGATCCTCGAGTCACTGGAGCATTGGATGAGACAGTAACAAAACAAAATTCCCATCAAAACAGTCCCAGACTCCTCTGGAGGTCATCTGAGTTTAGTCCCAGCCGGGTTCTTCCAGATCTACACTGGGGTGTTTGTAGTGCACCACCACCAAGCTGCCGGTCCGTGAACGAATCACCACCAAGCTGCCGGTCCGTGAATGCACCACCACCAAGCTGCCGGTCCGTGAACGAATCACCACCAAGCTGCCGGTCCGTGAATGCACCACCACCAAGCTGCCGGTCCGTGAATGCACCACCACCAAGCTGCCGGTCCGTGAACGAATCACCACCAAGCTGCCGGTCCGTGAATGCACCACCACCAAGCTGCCGGTCCGTGAATGCACCACCACCAAGCTGCCGGTCCGTGAACGCACCACCACCAAGCTGCCGGTCCGTGAATGCACCACCACCAAGCTGCCGGTCCGTGAACGCACCACCACCAAGCTGCCGGTCCGTGAACGCACCACCACCAAGCTGCCGGTGTAGTGAACGCACCACCACCAAGCTGCCGGTCCGTGAATGCACCACCAAGCTGCCGGTCCGTGAATGCACCACCACCAAGCTGCCGGTCCGTGAACGCACCACCACCAAGCTGCCGGTCCGTGAATGCACCACCACCAAGCTGCCGGTCCGTGAACGCACCACCACCAAGCTGCCGGTCCGTGAACGCACCACCACCAAGCTGCCGGTCCGTGAACGCACCACCACCAAGCTGCCGGTGTAGTGAACGCACCACCACCAAGCTGCCGGTCCGTGAATGCACCACCACCAAGCTGCCGGTGTAGTGAATGCACCACCACCAAGCTGCCGGTCCGTGAATGCACCACCACCAAGCTGCCGGTCCGTGAACGCACCACCACCAAGCTGCCGGTCCGTGAACGCACCAACACCAAGCTGCCGGTCCGTGAATGCACCACCACCAAGCTGCCGGTCCGTGAACGCACCACCACCAAGCTGCCGGTCCGTGAACGCACCACCACCAAGCTGCCGGTCCGTGAATGCACCACCACCAAGCTGCCGGTCCGTGAATGCACCACCACCAAGCTGCCGGTCCGTGAACGCACCAACACCAAGCTGCCGGTCCGTGAATGCACCACCACAGCTCTTCAAGTGGAAGTTTTTACTCCCAGAATCGGAATCAGACTTTAATCAGAAAGATTCCAAACTGTTTTTGTTGATCTTATTTCATAATCAGTAGCTATTCTGTTGTACTCCCAATCGGGTCTGATCCTGAATCCAGCGGTTCTGTGTCTGCAGCTCAGACTTCCTGTTCTCCCAGTAAGAGCCAGCACACCAGTTCCACCAGCGAGGCGGTTCCCCCGCCGACCCTGTCCCAGAACCGCTCCTTCTCCCTGCCACCAGGCCACGCCGTCTGCTGCTTCATGGACGGCGGCGTGGGACTCTATGACATGGGGGCCAAGAAGTGGGACTTCCTACGGGACCTGGTATTCCGTTCGATCAAAACCTGCTTTGCTCCTTTCTGGTTTTTAACTCCATGTTGCTCCTCGTCTGTGTCGATCCTAGGGACACGTGGAAACCATCTTTGACTGTAAATTCAAACCGGATGATCCCAACCTGCTAGCGACTGCCAGCTTCGATGGAACTATCAAGATCTGGGACACAAACACGTTAACAGCTGTTTCCACTTCCCCCGGGAACGAAGGCGTGGTCTATTCCCTGTCCTGGGCTCCAGGTGGGTCATCTAAAGTAGGAATTCTGCTTGGAAGTCCTTCACTGAGGTCTCCTTAGTCTGAGAACATTGTGTGTGTGTGTGTGTGTGTGTGTGTGTGTGTGTGTGTGTGTGTGTGTGTGTGTGTGCGTGTGTGTGTGTGTGTGTGTGTGTGTGTGTGTGTGTGTGCGTGTGTGTGTTTTGAAGGCGACTTGAACTGCATCGCTGGAGCGACGTCTCGTAACGGAGCGTTCATTTGGGATGTCAGGAAAGGGAAAATCATCACTCGCTTTAATGAGGTTTGTTCACGCAAGCCGGAATGTTTTTTCTGACGGGAAGTAATTCCCAGTCCATGTGAGGTGGATGTAGAAAGATGAGGAGTGTGTGACAGTTGGAACGTTTTTTTTCTTCCAGCACGGCAAAAATGGGATCTTCTGTATTTCATGGAGCCATAAAGACTCGAAGAGAATCGCCACGTGCAGCGGAGACGGGTTCTGGTGAGAACCGTGCGGTCTAACACCTGTGGTGTGTGTGTGTGATGTGTGTGTGTTGTATTTGTCCTGCTGCAGCATCGTTCGGACCATCGATGGTAAAATCCTCCATAAGTACAAACATCCCGCTGCTGTTTTCGGCTGCGACTGGAGTCAGAACAACAAGTAAGTTCTCCGTCCTCAGAGAGGGGCTCCCGACCAAAACCCGGAGAACTGAAGCAGCTGCAGATGAACTGGACTGGGTACTGTGATTCTGTGCTTTTATTTTGAAGGGACATGATTGCAACGGGCTGTGAAGACAAGAACGTCCGAGTCTACTATCTGGCCACCAGCTCGGATCAGCCTCTCAAGGTCTTCACCGGACACTTAGCTAAAGTATTCCATGTCCGCTGGTCCCCACTCCGAGAGGGAATTCTGTGTTCAGGATCAGATGACGGGTGAGCGGTTCTGGGTTCTAGATCAGTCATCATGATTGGTTCATGGTGTGTCTGACCTGGTTTTGTCCCAGCAGCACCGTTCGGATCTGGGACTACACCCAGGACGCCTGCATCAACGTCCTGAGCGGTCACACGGCGCCCGTCCGAGGCCTGATGTGGAACACCGAGGTTCCTTATCTCCTCATCTCAGGTCAGGATCTGAAAGGTTCTGCCTCACTAGTCATCCGTCCGTCCGTTTGTTTGTCTAACCGTCCGTCCACCGGTGTTGTTGGGATCCTAACGTTGTGGCTGGTCAGTGTTGTGATCTGAGCTGTGTTCTAGGATCCTGGGATTATACCATCCGGGTTTGGGACACCAGGGACGGGACGTGTCTGGATACGGTGTTCGACCATGGAGCTGATGTCTACGGTGAGACGTGAGGACATCAGGTGGTGGGACATGATGTCTCAGAGACATTTAGAGATAATAACAAACTAACATCAAGTTTTTGTTTCCTGAACCAGAACCTTCTGATGGTTCTTCTCCTCAGAACCACATGAGCGTTCTGGTCCAGATCCTGATCCTCTGGATCCTTGGTTTGGACCGAACCTGAGATAAAACTCCTGATCCAGACTAGAACTTCTGATCCATGACAAGATGATATCAGTCTGGATGCTGGCAAGGAAAACGGGGAGAGATGAGGACTGGATTAGGAGTTCTAAACCAGATCAGAGGATCTGGTCTGGATCACGGGTTCTGTACTAGATCAGGAGTTCTACCCTGGACCCTGTTTTTCTGCAGGTCTCACGTGCCACCAGAACCGACCGTTCACCATGGCGAGCTGCAGCAGAGACAGCACGGTTCGGCTCTGGTCCCTCACGCCGCTCGTCTCTCCTCTGCTGTTGAACATCCTGACCCAGCAGCCCTGGGAGAAGATCATCGGGAACACAGGTGAGATCTCACCTGAGCGCTGCGGCTCTGTTCCTTCTGAGCCTGTCTAACCCTGAGGGTTGTCCCTACCTGCAGACACGGCCATGGTTCCAGGCTCGCCCCCGCTGCTCTGCGGGAAAGTGTCCAGAGACATCAAGCAGGAGCTGGACAAGCTGAGTGGAGATGTCCGGGCCAAGAAGCTGCGCTGGTTCTCCGAGTGCTTCTCGGTAAATTCCCTCTGAATAGACTAGAGACCTCCGGGATGGTCCTTCATGTCAGCTGATTTTTATGAGTAAAAAAACATGAAAAATGGTCAAATTTACTCCTATGAATAAATAATAAACTGAAAATGAAAATGTTAATAAACCCCAAACCTGATTAAAAGTTTAGACTGCCCCCTGCTGGCCAAAACAGTCACCCTTGTTTTTATTCTCATCTAAAGATGAATAAATTAATCAAAAACAACTTTATATGTTTATTTTCTAACGCATTTCCTGTGACTTAATCTAAAAACATCATAAAGATGATTTAAAAAAACTAAAACTGCAGGAGCAAAGCGCCGGTTTTACTAGGATTTATTAAAAAACTTGTTACAGAAATACAAAATAATTTAGCATAAATAAACAGCCACAAAGCCTAAAATGTTTGTATTGATATTGTTCTGGTTCTAAAGGCCGATACTGAATTCAGCTGATTTATATGAAAGAACAAAAAAATAAATAAATAAAAGAAAACACTAAAACTTCCCTGCTGCAGCTGATCAGTGAGGAGTCCAGGGACTGGGAAAAATGTTTGTTATTGCTGCTTCAGTGAATCCACGAAGGATCGGCGTTTGAGTTCTGTTACTGGGAATTATTCTGAGAGTGTAGAAGTGGGGCGTTTTTATTTCTCTGAAGACAGAAGTCAATGAGGGGAGCGTTCCATTTTTATTTATACCACAGATACAAACACTTGGTGAAAAGTAGAAGTGGAATCAAAGCTGAAGAATGAGTGAGAGTGAGAATAATTCATATTTTTGTCACATTTTTTTTATTAAGGAACACCATAACATATCAAAGACTCAAAAACCAACCATTCTCACTCCTTCCCCCGTGTCCACCAATCAGTACATCCCATTCTAGTTGGCGAGTATGTTTATGTTTATTTATTTAGCAGACGCTTTTATCCAAAGCAACTTACAATTCATAACCTGTAGGGCATGTTGTGATCTGTGGGGGAAACCGGAGTACCCGGAGGAAACCCACGCATGCATGGGGAGAACACGCAGAAAGGCCGCAGCCGAGTTTCGAACCTGCAACCTTCGTGCTGTCAGGCAACAGTGCTAACTGCGCCACCATGCAGCCCCATTTCCATAGTCTCAGTGTCCATATATACTCAAAGCCATTACACAGAGTATTTTAGGTGGTTTCTATGTTAAATCTGTGATTTTCTTCATTGCAAACCAGATTCATCCCATGTTTTATGTTTGTGACCTGCTGTGTCGCCCTTCAGCCTCCAGGGGGCAGCAGTAACCTGTGGGACCTGGTGTTTGTCATCAACGGTCAGGACGACTCGCTGCTGCCAGCCAGCTACAGCAAAGGAGTGATGCACATGAAGCACCTGGTCAAGTTTAAAACCGTGAGTCAAGCTCCACCCCTAACCAAACTCTCAGCCAATCAGAGCACGGAGGCATGTCTGATGGAGTCATGAATCAGAGGAATAAAGAAACCATCAGACCCATCAAAGGAAGCTCGCTGTGTTTTCCCGACTAAAGCTGCAGGAGGAATTTTTATTCATGGCAAACTTTCTGTTGGGGATTAAAATAAAACTCCTCCATAACTGGTCCGTCTCTGCCGTTTCAGTCTGAAGCTCAGGAGCTGACCATCGTTAAGATGTCCAAGTTTGGAGGAGGAATCGGAGCTCCCAGTAAGGAGGAGCGTCTGAAGGAAGCAGCAGATATCCACCTGAGACTGGGGCAGATCCAGAGATACTGTGAGCTGATGGTGGAACTGGGTCAGGTCCGTCATGATGTTTGGTTTCGGTCTGGTTCTGAGGAGCCATGAATTCAGGATGAAACTTTTGTAAACCAAAATGTTGAAAAGCAGAAATGAACAAATATCTGAGACAGCTGTGGTTCCTTTAGCAGAACCAGAACCAGACTGATGGCTTCACTGGTCTGTGTTTCAGTGGGAGAAAGCCCTGTCAGTGGCTCCAGGAGTCTCCATGAAGTACTGGAAGAAGCTCATGCAGCGGTAAACCATCACACACACACACACACACACACACACACACACACACACACACACACACACACACACACACACACACACACACACACACACACATGTTCATCCATCAGTTAGACTGAATAACAGTAAAAAATACAGTTGGCTGTAATTCAGAGGTAAAGTGCTCGTCAATCGTTTAATAATGTCTGTTCATGAACGTTTGATTCTTCTCCAGACGAGCTGACCAACTGATGGCTGAAGATAACGATGACGCCATACCGTTCTGTATCGCCACCGGCGACATTAAAAAACTTGTGACGTTCTTCAGCAGCCGAGGGCAGCTGCTGGAGGCCTTACTGATCGCACAGGTACAGGGGGTGCAGGTCTAAAACACACCTGGAGGACAGGTAGGGTAGAAAAAAGCATTTAATGGCTTGTTGTCTTTAGGGAGCGTCTGAGGGCAACATCCGTTCACCTCCAATGTTCTCAGTCAACCACACACTCAACGATGTGGACAACAGAGAGCAGTACCAGAGGTGGACACACACACACACACACACACACACACACACACACTGCTGTAATGAACCATAAATGTCTGTCTCCAGCATCCTTCAGAACGTCTGTAAGGAGCTGGCTGAGTGGTTCTTCCGGGACGGGTGCTCGGTTCTGGCCGCGTGCTGCCACCTGGCGGTGGACGACCTCCAGGTAAACATCTGGTCTCTCAGCATTGCCATCATTCCCAAGCATCTACAGCAGCTGTCAGCCAGTTTAAACTGGTGTGTTTCCAGTTAGGCATGGCCAGCCTGATCCGAGGCAATGAGCTGGAGTTAGCAGCATGCGTAGGCCTTGTCCTTGGAGAGGCAGCCAATCAGAGCACAGCTTACTGCCTGGAGCTGTTGGCTAGGAAGTACATGACCATGCCCACATGGTATGACCTCATACACACCTTTCTTCAGAGTAAACTCTGTTATTTATGGATTTCAGGGAAAATCATGGTGGTAATGGAATAATCTCTGAGCAGCAGAGCAAGGCGGGTCTGTAATCCCGCCAGGAGAAGGTTCATCCCACACACGGGAGTTTTATTTCATCAGGAGTACCTGCTGTACTGGATCTACAGCTGCAGATCCAGTACAGCAGGTGTGGTGTTATCACATGAAAATTATTCCTGAATAATCTTCCTGTTTTCCTTTCTAGGGAGCTGTCAGCTGACCTGCTGGGAATGATCCCAGACAATCACATCCTATTGGCTAAACTCTGCGCATTTTATCCAGGAAGTGCTGCAGAGATCGACCAGCTGCATGACAGAGTGAGTCACCTGAAGCTTCAGCGTGCCTAACCTGAGCTCAGACGTAATGCGTGATGTTTTAACGGGTTTCTAACAGTGTGGCCTTCCTCCGATGGAGGAGTGTAAAGCTCTGGCAGATGAAGCCATGAACGATGGAGATTTGTTTTCTGCCGTGAAGCTCCTGCTGCTGAGTGCCGAGCCTGAACACGCCCTTCAGATAGGGATTAACTATGTTAAAGGTACCGGTCCACGAGCTTGGTTCTGATCTCAGGACTCGTTTTGTCCGTGACGAGACTAAAGAAAAAATATTTTTACAAATCAGAATAAATGATTATTTCATTTATTTCATCAAGTTTTGTTTCTGTAATAACTTTTGGATTCTGGTTCTGATGTTCCTGATTCTCCAGAACAGCTGTCTGGACCCGACTGGACTGTGGACAGCGTTCATCCGGTCCTGGACCTGATGAGTTACATCCGGACCGACCGCCTCACCATGGCCCAACAGACAGAGTGAGAGCTCTTTATTAGTGGTACCGCGTTTAGTTCAGCCCAGTTCTGACGCGGCTCTGCGTTTCAAACCCACATGATGATGATGTCAGAGTGCGAGCACCGAGTCGGTCGCGGCTCATTCAAACGCCACAGCGGGAAAACAGAAGCCCATTTCCTGTTTCTTTGTCTGAGTGACTGGATGAGTTCAATAAGGGTCCTCATAGCTCGGTGCCGGGCGGTTCTCCGGACTCTGACCCTTACTGAAAGTTTATGAGAGAGAAGCCACTGGGATCGACTGGAGGTCCAGCTGGGAGGACTGGGATTATTATACTGGAAATCCCCTCTGCTACATTTTGTCAGGCTATTTAGCATGCTAGCTAACATAAATAATCCGGCTCTGGCTTCACTTCCTGTTCAGCTTTTCCAGGATGTGAACATGTGATACGTGCACATAGAGGGGTGTGCACAGAGGGGAGAGGGAAAGTCAGAAGACGGCTTGATGGTTAGCTTATGACCCAGTAATTAAGAACGGGACATTCACAGCAACTGGGTGAGGATTTTCCTGGATTGTACGTTTCAGAAGTGATTTCAGTCTATTTATTTAATGGTTTCCATCATGTGCTGCTGCGCCACCGCGGTTAGAGCTGTTGCCTTGCAGCAAGAAGGTCCTGGGTTCGATTCCCGGCCTGGGATCTTTCTGCATGGAGTTAGCATGTTCTCCTTGTGCATGCGTGGGTTCTCTCCGGGTTCTCCGGCTTCCTCCCACCGTCCATAAACATGACTGTTAGGTTGATTGGTCTGTCTAAATTACCCTTAGGTGTGTGTGTGTGTGTGTGTGTGTGTGTTGCCCTGCGGTGGACTGGCACTCTGTCCAGGGTGTACCCCGCCTGATTGCCCGTTGGATATAGGCACCAGTCCCCCCGCAACCCTACGTGGACAAGCTGGTTCAGACAATGGATGGATGGATGGATGGTTTCCATCAGAATGTGAAGAATACTGCAAAAACGCTCCTGACAAACTCTCATGCTCCAGCTAAAGGATCGTGAAAAGTGATTTTAGTTATCAAGGTTTTCAGATCACTGAGCTATAGAAAAAATGTGTTAGACCAAACTGGACCATTTCAGTGTGTGTGTGTGTGTGCGTGTGTGTGTGTGTGTGTGTGCGTGTGTGTGTGTGTGTGTGTGTGTGTGTGTGTGTGTGTGTGTGTGTGTGTGTGTTCAGAGCCCTCAGTGAGCTGCTGATCTTGTGCGGTTACATCGGAGGTCTCCTGGCCATCAGGATGAACTACTCCAGCATCGTACCTGCTCTCTATGAATACACCAGGTAGGAGCGCACCTGTCGCTGCTGTAATACATTATGTCACCACAGGGTGGCAACACTTGTCCTTTGTAATCTGTTCTCATTGTTGTGTGCAGCCTGTAGGGAAAAGTTTGTAGCATGCTGTAAAGCTTGTCGTTTTCTGCTGTTTTATACCCAGAATAAATTAGTTCTTGATGAAAGCAAAAACTTGCTGCTCTTCTGGTCTTCGCCAAATCAAATCAACTTTATTTATATAGCACTTTTCATACAAAAAATGCAACTCAAAGTGCTTTACAGATTAAAATGGCCCCATAGATCCCACATTCCCATCCCAGCCCCCCTCTCCAAGTATAAAACAATTAAAAATTACAGTTCCCCTCCCGCACCCAACTTCCAAAGTGGACATACAATCACCCGCACACTCGTCCATGCACACACACACACACACACACGCACACACACACACTCGTGAACACCAGAGGAAACAATAGGCTGAGTTCAGATGGGTCAGGTAATGAACGACACATCATCAGCGGAGCCATCTGCCCTGGCAGCAACAGATCCACGGCAGCAGCCAAGACACCGGCCCATGACGCCCAGTGGCGTAGGGCAGAAACCCCCACCAGTGCCCGGGCACTACCCGAGGAGCGCCCCGGCCGCCGCCGCCCCTGACCACCGGCCCCAGGGCAGAGGGCTCCGCAGAGGAAACACTGGAGGATTTAAGATATATAACATATAAAATAATAAAAGCTAATAATGATAAAATGTAACTGATAAAAAGTGATTATAAAGATAGTAAAAGAAAACATAATCATGTATAAACACTAAGATGTAGATAAAATGATAAAAATAATAAAAGAGATAAATATGTATTTATAGATAAATAGTGATCAGTTAAAAGCTAAGCTAAAAAGGTGGGTCTTGAGCCTATTCTTAAAAGCCTGGATGTTCCCTTCGGACCTGAGGTCCTCCGGCAGCCCGTTCCAAAGGCGAGGGCCGTAATACTTGAAGGACGCCTCGCCGTGGGTGTGAGTCTTAACTTTAGGGATAACTAGGAGACGGCTGCCAGAGGAGCGCAGAGACCGCGAGGGTTTATACAGTAAAAGCATTTCTGCAAGATAAGAAGGCCCAAGACCATTAAGACTCTTAAAAACCATTAAAAGAACCTTAAAATCGATTCTGAAACATACGGGGAGCCAGTGCAGTGAATTTAAAACCGGAGTGATGTGCTCCCGCTTCCTGGTCTTCATCTAGCCTGGCAAGCCAGACTAAATAAATGTATTATTAGTCTGGCAACGCTCCATTGACGGCTCTTGGTTGTGGGGCGGGTTCTACCGTTGTCTTTCAAATGATCTCCGCATTCCACTGGACAATGAATGTGACATCCTCTTGTTTCACTCTGTTGCATCATCCCACACACCAGGCATATAGAGTGCTCTGATTGGCCCACAAAGCGGATAAAGCTCTGTGATTTGTTCACTAAGCAGATAGAGCACTATGACTGGCCCACCATTATGGACCAATCACAGCTCTTTGTGTGTTTGAACCCCCTCTAGAGAGCTGTGATTGGCTAGCCAGACTCCTGGTATGAGCTGCAGAGGTTCCAATGGAGCGTGCCTAGACCAAACTTTGCAAAGCAAGAATTTGGTCTAGTTCACTAGGCTAGTTGTAAACCTGAGATGCTCTTTTTGGGAAGACCAGAAAGCAGGGCATTGCAGTAATCAATTCTACTAGTTACAAAAGCATGCACTAGCGTCTCCGCATTGGCCCGAGAGAGAATGGGGCGGACTCTGGCGATATTCTTAAGATGGTAAAAACCTGTTTTTGTGATGTTTTTAATGTGGGGGATAAAAGTCAGCTCAGAGTCGAAGATAACGCCCAGATTCTTCACTTGTAGTGATGGATAAAAAGACATTGACTGTAGTTTAGGTAAAAGTTTCTCTCTCTGGGCCTCAGGACCGATGACTAAAACTTCAGTGTTGTCTTGGTTGAGCTGGAGAAAGTTTTCAGTCATCCATGATTTAATATCTAAAATGCAATTAAAAAGTGTTTCCACGGGCTGTGCGTCATCAGGAGACACGGAGATGTACAACTGTGTATCGTCAGCGTAACTGGAAATTCACCCCATGTCTCCTGATGACGCTGCCCAGAGGGAGCATATAGAGGTTAAAAAGCACTGGGCCTAGAACTGATCCCTGAGGCACCCCGCATGTGATGCTGTGGACCCCAGAGGAACAGGTATCCAGACTCACCATAAAAGTCCTGTCTGTGAGGTAGGAAGTAAACCAACTGTGAACAACACCAGAGAGGCCAATCTGTTTTAAACGGGTTAAAAGAATAGTGTGGTCTACTGTATCAAAGGCAGCGCTTAGATCCAGCAGAACCAACACTGTTGCCCTCCGAGCATCATAATTTGTTCTAAAATCATTTAAAATCTTGAGAAGGGCCGTCTCAGTGCTGTGGTTCACCCTAAAACCAGACTGAAATTTCTCTAGGACATGTTGGTGGTTGATGAAATCATTAAGTTGTATTAAAACAAGCTTCTCTAAAAGTTTGCTTAAAAATGGTAAGTTGGATACCGGACGAAAATTGTTTAAGTCATTAAAATCTAAATTGCTCTTCTTCACCACACAAATCCGCGCAGCCTGCTTAATTTCTGCCCCTCCGGACGTTGCACTGTTTCAACGGCCGTACGCCAGTCCATGTTTTAAAGGGAGATTTCTGCCATTCTTGAGTGTGTTGCTTTGTAAAAGTTATAAATATTTCCCATCTACTAGCCTGTTTGAGAAACGGTTTATGACTGATCAACCAAAGGCTAGTCTAAGCTAGCAGCTACTCCAACGTGCAGCCAAAACCAAACGTGGTGACTTAAAGGTGCATTATGGAAGTTTGACAGCCAAAACATGTATAGAAATACTAAATGTCTTCTTCATACATTCTCCTGCAATGCCCTGGTCCTGTAGAATGAGCCCTGGCATTTTTACTGTGATTGCCTGTTTTTCTGTAAAATCACAGAAAAAGAGAGATGCTCGGGTCGAGCAGGCTGCTTCATGCGCGTTCACGCTCAGGCATCGCCCGTAGCATTTGCTATCCGTAGCTTTAGCAGCAGAGAGAGAGGCAGTGCCACTTTGTCGCTGTTCCTAACGCCTAGTGACAAAGCTAGCTACATTTCTGAGGACCCTTAGCTACTTTCTGTAGAACTTTCTTCTAGATATTTCCTGCTAATTAGCAACAAAATAGCCGTTTTCACTCCGAACCGTTCTTTGGTTTGACGTTGTTTCAGCTGTCATCAAGGATATAAATGTTACAGATTCACGAGACATCACTGGTGCTTTAGCTCACCTAGTAAGATGTCTGACTCTCATGCAGAAGACCTGGGTTTGATTCTGGATGTGAACATAGTTTATTTAGAGTTTCTTTTTTACATTAATGGTATATTTTTTACAGTAAGACGCCCAAATTTTTATTTGAGACTCGCCGAACGGCATTGAATTAACAGATAAAAAGATGTGGGTTCAACTTTCATTTTGGAACAATTTTTCAAGCAAGGGAAGGGAATGATCTGAGCATGCAGGAGGACTGACCCATCATAAACCTTTGTCGGCTGTGCTGAAGAGAAAGGTACAGAACCACATTATTTAATTAATTAGCTGCACGTTCTCCTGTCCTCTGTCCTCCGTGCCACACACACACACACACACACACACACATGACTGTCTCAGCTATTTTCGTTAAGGAGTGTGCACGTACAGCATGCACGCCTCGTGCACGAGCCCACTATTGAAGCTGCCGTTACGCTTTTGGCCTGAGGGGGCGATCACGAGCATAAAAATTCAAAAGTCCGTAAAGTCCCTTTAAAAACCACTCCGATCTTCCCAGCGGGTTGTGTGTATTTGAACAGATTTTCGCGTGAATTCACAAGGAATTCTGTGTAAATTGACCAGGATAAATATCATCAGCAGGTAAATATAGTTCTTCTTCAGCGAATGAGTATTTTAGCTTAAATTACTCTTAAATGTGAAATGTGACTTCAGATGTTTATGTTTTATGCTCATGAGCTACACATGACTCAGCAGCTTTAGGATTTCAGTGATGCTAATGGGCCTGCAGGATGGAGGATCCGAGTTCTGATGGATCCGGTCTTTTGACGGCACGATTTTATATTAAAGGTTTGTGTTTCTCAGTCAGCTGCTGAAGAGAAGGGAGGTGCGTGTCCCTCTGAAGATCGAGCAGCTGTCAGTGGAGCTCGATGCCTGGAGGTCATGCACGCAAACCAAGAGCACGTAAGTCTCACTCACACAAGCTGTTTCACCGCATCATTCACTGATGATGTGCAACTCCTCATCTTCATCTCTGTGGGAAAATGAGGCTGTAATGATGAAGAGGCTGTGCCGTTACCAAGGTAACCAGAGGGCTCATCCATCTGATGACAAAAAAAAAAAACGCTAAACCTTGAATCTGGTTTTTAAATCAATCAGAAACAATTAAATACAAACAAAAAGCAAAGTTTTAGTTTCTTTAATGAATTCAATTCATTATTTTATAAAATCAGAAAAACTGTAATTTAATGACATCGCACTGAAAATAAACACAAATGAACACAATTTGGGTGGTTTTGGTTCTGAAAGAGGTTCTGATCAGGTCCATTTGGTGTGTTTTTACTCAGGCCTCCGTCTGAAGGCCAAAGAGAAGAGTTCAGCTGCCTGGAGACCCGGATCCAGCCAACAGAACCCGGTAGTTCTTAGCTCAGTTTACCATCAGCAGGATTCACGTTCAAGTCAGAGCTGAAGGCATCTGGACCTCTGTTAAATTATTAAAGAACATTCTGGTTCTGGTGGGTCCAGCTGCCTTCACTTAGCGTGACGAGTCACTGAACCCCGGTTCTTCTTCTCTCAGCGGTCCTGGTTCTGTGTGGAGCTGATTATGTGACGGGTTCCAACCTGCCGAGTCATTCGGACCTTCAGCTGTCCTGTTTTACTGGACACAGAATCCAGGTGTGTGTGTGTGTGTGTGTGTGTGTGTTATCAATGCATGTGTGACGGTTCCTGTGTTCCAGGGTCCGGTGTATTTCCTGGAGGATAATAAGTCATCCATCTCTCTGAACGACGCTCTGATGTGGGCCAAAGTGAACCCGTTCTCCCCTCTCGGAACCGGAGTTCGGATCAACCCGTTCTGACGCGGCAGAAGAACGATCCAGGAGGCTTTCAGCACAAAGCAGAGATAGAAACTAAACACTGACCTGAAACTCGAGTCACAGGAAATTTCCTTTCATTTTATTGGTTCAGGACATGAAATCAGCCCGAGTCCAATCAGAACCGGACTGTGGGTTTGTTTAGATGGAGAGAGAAGATGCTTTATATGAATTTGAGAGAGATAAACACACGGAGGTGATGAATGTTTCTTCTCTTCTCTTTGACTCGAATCAGCTTGCTGAACCAGATCCAGTCTTTAGTAGCTGTGATGTGATCAGAACCCGACCCGAGACTCTGTAGCATCCAGTCGGATCATCTGAATGAAGATGAACCAATCTGAACTCTTTTGGTGTTTGAACAGTGAAATAAAGTGAGGAGGAGGCCCAACAGCCCCCCCCCCCCAACGCAGACACACTTTATTTTGTTTTACTTTTTATTAATTTTTTTAATTGAAATTTCTTATCTTCAAGCTTCATAGGGGGTCTCAACCTCTCACACCAACTTAAAGAGCAAGTCACCCCCTACAAGAAACTTACTCCACTCCCACTTCATGTTTGAAAAATGCAACAAATGCTGTTGCCTAGCAGCCCGGGAGGGCGGAGCCGCTAACAAATACACACACACACACACACACACAGGCTCACGACACTGTGACATCATAATGTATCAGCTGACATCATAGTGTACCTCTTAGCCAATAGCGGTAGCCAAGGATGTAATTTTCACTTTAGAAGTGTGTGTGTGTGTGTGTGTGTGTGTGGGGGGGGGGGGGGGTATCTTTACAGTATGCTGTAATAGGAAACAGGCTTCAACACAAACGGTTGTTTTCCGCTTGGTCCTAGAGCTCAACCAGTGTCAATTTAATATAGCGTAATATTGGTTTTGGATGGTAAAAGTGCAGGGGTCAAAACTTGACTTTGGAAAAAGTGGGGGGAACATCCCTGTGGGCAAGTAGCCAGGGCGCATGATCAATCGGGATACAGTGACAGGACGCTCACCCTGTCACATCAGGTTGGTGTGTGAGGTTGAGTGGTTTCAGCCAGATGTAGTCAGACTTACCTTGATGCATGGCTCTGGCTCCAGAACAAGCTCCCTCAAGAGGTAAGAGACACTCTACCACTCTGGAATTGCCTCAAGCAGGGGTAGGCATACTTCTTACCCCCATCTTGGTGCCTGTACATTGGGGTTTATCCCAGTAAACGAGAGGGTAGCCTCCCTTCACCTATGTGTGTGTGTGTGTGGTGGTGGTGGTGGTGGTGCTGGTGGTGGTGGTGGTGGTGGGGGGGGGGTAGTCCTGACTGTTGTTTGTGCTTATGCACCAAACTGCAGAATATCCACTCTTTTTGGAGTCCTTGGAGGGGGTTCTGGAGAGCACTCCTTCGGTGACTCCCTCATCCTCCTGGGGGACGTCAACAATCGTGGGCAACAGCAGTGAAACCTGGAGAGGTGTGGTTGGAAGGAATGGCCCCCCAATCTGAATCTGAGCGCTATTTTGTTTTTGGACTTATGTGCTCATCACGAATTGTCCATAATGAACAATATGTTCAGGTATAGAGGTGTCCGCGTGTGCCCTTGGCACCAGGATACCACAGGTTGAAGCTCAATGATTGACTTTGTTTCCTTATCTGATCTGCGGCTGCATGTCTTGGACACTGGTGAAAAGAGGGGGCAAAGCTGTCAACTGGTGGTGAGTTGGCTTCAAT